ACCCTAAGTATACGTCAAATTAAGTAAGAGTTTTTTGTCCAAAAGCAGATTTATTTATTTTAATTGCCAGCTTAAAGTCTAGATCTCAATCCATTTGAATTCCTCTGAGCTATTCTGGGTCAAAAATGTGGCATACAATGTCTAAAAAGGAAAGAATCATGTTCCAAGAAGCTTAGACACATTGATCCAGATATGACAAAGAAATTTGTTGAATCAATGCCATGTCGAATATCATATATATATATATATATATATATATATATATATATATATATATATATATATATATATATATATATCCAAGCATAAATATTCTGTTTTGACAACTTGATCATGGGTCTTTGTATGTTTTAATATAATCATTTTTAATAATCATTTCAAATATTTGTGTAAAAAACAAAACTAAAATGCAGAAAAAATAAAAAATAAATAATGCTTAAGAAAATAAAAAGTTAAATATCTGTTTTTACTTTTTCATTTTATTTTAAGCGTTTTACTTCATATGACTTCATCATCTAATCTTAATTTACTCATAAAGGTAAATTCATTTTATCACAGCAAGACTCCTCAGTAATAAAAGGGCTAATATGCTGTCTATTGTATACCATTTATGTAAAAGTCAATCGCATGCAATCCGAACCACACAAGCTATTTAAAAATGGTGTTTGATTTTTATCCATTTCTCTAGTAACTTTTTAGGCTAGTTATGTATCAAGTGTATCTTGTCTTGAAAAGAAGCCAGCACTTTGATTGCTTGGAGGGGGCATTTAAGCTTGAAAAGGATCTCACTTCTGTTATGGCATTGGGCTCTCAGTGGCTGGTGAACTTTAATTCAGATAAAATTCAATTTTTTTCAGCTAATTATTATTGCAACAATCTAGAACTTGCTATATTTATGAACGGTAATGTACTCAATGAGTCATCAACCCTTTGTCTTCTAGGATTAACTCTTACTTCCGATCTGTCTAGGAAGCCATAAATCAAATCCATTGCAAAATTAGCATCTGCTAAGGTTGCATCTCTTTAGTGTGCTCGCCACTTTCTTAATTAGGATTCTATTCATTATCTTTATAAATATCTAATCCTTGTATGGAATACTGTTGCCATATCTGGAGCAGATCTTCGAATGATGGCCTTTCTCTTTTAGACAAAAACACATTGTGAACATTGTTGGAACTGCTCTTGCTGCTAACTTTCAACAATTTTTTATCATAATGTTGCTTCTCGATCTTTTTTCCGTAAATACTATTATGGGCGCTGCTTTAAAGAATAAGCGGCTCTTGTGCCATCTACTGAAATTCATTCTTGTGTTACTTGTCATTCAATTAAGTCTTATCTTTTTATTGTGACTGTTCCTTAGTGCTCCAAAAATTCTTATTTGTCTAGTCTTTTTCCTTGAAGATCAGTTCTTTGGAATTCGCTCCCTTTTTCTTGTTTTCCTGATTCATATAATTTGTAATCTTTCAAGTCGTCTGGTAATCGTTATCTTGCTTTATAAACCTCATCTTTTCTCTTCCAGTATATTCTAACTCTAATAGTGGTTGCTTGCATCCTTGTTGGAAGTTTTTATTTTAGCAAGAAAATTTGATGCAAATTAAAAAAAAAAAAAAAAACAGATTAAAATCATAAAATTTAATAAACTTTTTGAAAGGTCAAGTTGTCAAAACAAAATATATTATGTATGAACAATAAGATTCTTAAAAAAAACTTAAGAAAAAAAAAGGAAATGTGCGCCATCTAGGGTTTGGTTACTAAATATACTATGACCAAATTCACCAGAATTTTTTAGTATAATAAGTTGTGCTTGGTGTAAAACTTTTTTTTTTCGAAAATATTTGACTTTTTCCTTTTTTAAATATAAAACTTGTAATTATTAAGTAAAATTAGTTAATCATTTATTATAATAAAAGTTATGTGTTGTAAAATTTACATATGTTACATATGTTAAAGAATCAAGAAAAGAAAGTTTGAAAAGTTATATAAACTCTATAAATATAGTTTAGTAAAGTTTTAGATTTTTATTTAATTTATGTATGATATAATAAAGTTTTGGAACAACTCTATATTACTTTCCTAACAGTCCATGGTGACTTCCGTGTAGGGCCTCCACATTTTGATAGGTTTTTCTTGACTTCATATCCTCCATCACTGACCAAATGCATAAATCCATTAAGGTCAGTTTACAAGGGTTGCCACATATCTGGTGTCCAAACAGGAGTTTCAAACTAGGAGAAACTTTTCTTGGCTTGGTGGGCTGGAGCTAAATCTTGTTAAAAAATTCATTACTTTTGCTTGAACTTTTTGTTGAACCAGGGTGATCACTCAAAAATGTAATATAGTCTTCTGAGACTTTCTGGAACAAAAGCCAGTGGAGTTTTAGTTCTGCCAAAGCAGATCCTGGCCCAAAACATAACCCTTGCAGGTGCTGTCACTTTGGAATGGTTTTGTCTCCAACTAGACTTTTTAATGATCCTGTTATTGTATCGATTTGGTTTAGGTTGAACATTAAAGAATTTTTTATCTGAATAAACCACAAAAATGTTGTGAGTTTAAAGGAATTCTAACAAAATGAACACCTTTTTTTTTCTGTTTTTCTCTTGTTGCTTCACACAGAAGTCTAGTCTAAGTCCGGTCTAATTCTTTGTGTCTTTTCATAAATCATCTTAAAGTTCTTGCAAGCTTTAAAATTGAATGGTTTGGATTACGTCACAACTCATAATAAACTGCATTTAAATTTGTTATATTTGATTCAGATTAGATTTAAATTCTCAAAAAATGCCTAAGGACAGCATATTATTATATTTGCTGCTGTGTATTATTTTTTATTTATATATTAAGTTTTTTTTTTTAATTTCAAGTTGATTTAGGTGCCCCAAGAAGTCCTTATGGTCTTTTCACAGAGCACCGCGGAAGTTTTAATATAATCATATAAATATTAACAAACTTTAAGTTTTGGATAGCATTTTTAATTCAAACTTTCTAAAAATATACATTGCTGACAAGTCTTCATGTCAAATGGTCATATTGAAAAAGTACATAAAGCATAAAAATCTGACCAATATTGTTTTTTTTACTCAGTCAGACATTTTATAAAAAGCAGAATGATAGCTGATGGTTAATATTTAATGATGCCAGATAATTATGATAACAATACATTGCAATATTTATGTAGCTGTGTCTTTGTGTGCATAAATAAAATAATTCATAAAATTGAGAGAGGTATTGCAAAGAAATTTCTAAAATGTCATTTTGGGGATTTAGATCTGTTAGAGCAGGACTGTTTCTGTAAATATTGTGTTGTTCGCAATGCCAGTTTCTAAATGTAAGTGGCATATTATGTAGCATATTAAGTTATACAAGTTTTTTGGTTCTTGCAATTTGTTTTTGGCAAACTTTTTTTCCAAAATCCTCATTTTTGAAGATATGTCAGGACTTAGTAAATATTTTATTCAAAAAATCTGATTTTTTCAGTCCTGCCTTCCACAGCTTTTTAATGGTCTCATGCAGATGATTAAATAATGCTTAGGGAACTTTGAACATTTCTTAAAAAAAAATTTAACAATTAAAAAGAGATAACTTCATAATTATTGGATTCTAAATCTTAGTCCTAAACCTTTTTTTGTTCATATTCACACTGGAATAAATTAAATTTGAAAATTTTCCTCCACAAATGGTGCACCCCTGTACTTTCTTTCCATGAAATGGAATCTTCAAATGCACCTGCGTCATCTTTAAACTTTTTTTAATTTGTCCCAAGCTCCTTCTCAACTCTTTTTTTCTTTCTGTGATCTGTCAAACATTTGCACAGTGTTCTTGCTTTTTTTCTACACCTTTTTTTACCAATTCTGTTCTCTGATCTTTCATTATCTTGCCAATTAGTCGAAGAATAGAAAGAAAAAAAAATTTTTGAATAGAATATTGGAAATTTAGTTTTTGTAAAATATATTTAACAGACCATCCACTGTCAATGTTGAACTTAAACCCAACTCTTATCCAGATGTCTTACACACCTTTTGACTAATCTCTCACATGCTCTATCCTGGAAAACTAGATTTCTGCTTACTGTTTTTGTTGGACATGCAATAATTTCATTGCTGGATTGAAACCTGGTGCTTCTATGATAATAAAAAAAAAAAAACTCAGATAAATTTTGCCGTTGATTTATTGAGGGGTAAATAAATAAATTACATATAAACTTATTTTTCAAATTCTTTTTAAAAAAGTGAAAATGTTTAAAAATATGTCTGAAACTGAGCTGCTAATTGGCTGAAAGTTTATGAGATATTTTAGTAGATACAGAGATTCACAAATAAAAAAAAATAATAATAAAATGACACTTCATATATGCATTATTTCTTCTTGCATTTTTTTTTTTACTTTTTCTCTTTTGCTGGTCTTTTTAAGCTGGGTTTTTTCTGTGCGACCAATTTTTAAACGTATTTATTTATTCATTCATGAAGTTAAAAAAGTTAAAATTTTTTCAAATCACACATTATAGAGATAAAAGTTTCAGAATTTATAAATAGCTGTGATTACTAAAAATAGTGTAGTATATTATTAAAATGAAAGTAAAAGACTATTTAATGAAAATAAAAGATTGCTACTTGCTTTTTAAAGAATAATTACAAAATTCCTTTTAAGATTATAATTTTATATATTTTATCACAGTTCATTTCAAATAGTAAAAGCTTAAAAAATATGACAAAAATTTACAAATTTAACACCACACTTATATACTTTAAAGCAAGATAACAATTAACAGATGGCTTGAAAGATTGCAAATTATTGCAATGCGAAAAGTATAAGAATCAAAGCAAAAAATTCATGATAGTTCGTAGTTTTATTCAAAATATTAGAAACAAATTGCTTTTTTAATTAAAATGTTAGAAATAAACCACCATAATTACTTAGTAGAACCCCCTTTTACTTTAAGTTTATTAAGCTTTTACTTATAGCAGTATTTTTTTCTAGTAATTGTAACATTGAATGTTTTATTGCAGATTTAGGAAGAATGTACAATCTAGTATCACGTGTACCAGATGGTTTGGTTACATTGAAGCAGCTTTTAGAGCAGCATATACACACTCAAGGTTTAAACGTAATAGAGAAATGTGGTGAAGCTGCTATCAATGTAATTTCAATTTTATATTTTTGTTCGGAGTTTGTAAAAATATATATTTTTTCTATTTGTTTTCATATATATAAATGAAGTATGATTTTTTAGGATCCAAAGATGTACGTAACTACAATGCTAGGTGTACATCGCAAATATTATGCTTTGGTTGTATCTGCTTTTAGTAATGATAATGGCTTTGTTGCTGCACTTGATAAAGTTTGTTGTTGTTATAATATATTTTAAGACTTGATTTTAGTGTTAGAAACGAAGGTTTGAAGCTTGCAATGATATAAGATTTAAAAATAAAAAAATTTGGCAATTAATTTTTCTGTTATTGATTTTTATTTAGGCTTGCGGAAGATTTGTTAATGCAAATTCCGTCACTAAAGCAGCAGGAAATTCGTCAAAATCTCCAGAACTTTTAGCTCGCTATTGTGATTCACTCCTGAAAAAGAGGTAGACTTCTTTAATGTCAATTAATAGTGACAATGTTTTAAAGATTTTTTTTATCAGATAGGTTTTAAATAATTATAAATTTTTAGTGCAAAGAATCCAGAAGAGGCAGAGCTAGAAGATATTCTTAATTCTATAGTAAGTTTTTAACAGAAATTCATTATGCCACATAAAATGCCACTTCCATTTAGAAACTGACATTGTTGACAATACAATGTTTACAGAATTAGTCCTGCTTTAACAGATCTAAATCCCCAAAATGACATTTTAGAAATTTCTTTGCAATACTTTTCTCAATTTCATGAATTATTTTATTTATGCACACAAAGACACAGTTACATAAACATTGCAATCCATTGTAATCATAATTATTATAACTATCATAATTATCTGGCATCATTAAATATTAACCATCAATTATCATTCTGCTTTTTATAAAATGTCTGACTGGGTAGAGAAAATAAAAAAAAAAAAACAATATTGGTCAGGTTCTTATGCTTTATGTACTTATTCAATATGACCATTTGACATGAAGACTTGTCAGCCATGTATATTTATAGAAAGTTTGAATTAAAAATGCTTTTCAAAACATAAAATGGCGAAGTTTGTTTATATTTATATGATTATATTAAAATTTAATATATAAATAAAAAATAATACAAATCTGAAGATTTAATAGTATGCTTTTTGGCATTTTTCAAGTGTAATCTGAATCATATATAATAAACATATATATATATATATATATATATATATATATATATATATATATATATATATATATATATATATATATATATATATATATATATATATATATATAGTTGTATAAAGAATGTATAGAGATTGCGGCTATGCAGGAGGTGGATGTGTGAGGCAAGGGGACCTTGCGTTATTATTATGAAGCACATTGCATTACCTAACAATTTGCATTAACAATTTGTTACCGCTAGTGACAGATAAATTTTGAAGAGTTTCATATTTCAAACACATGTATTTATATTTTTTTAAATAAAAAAATTGAATAGGTTTGGAAGAGTTCTTTCAGATTTAACAGATGTCACTTTACCTTAAAAGCTGTTTAAAATGAAAGAATTTCTTTCTCTACTTCCTCAAAGTTTAAATTGCTTTCAAAATTTTGTACAAATTTTTAGTTTTTTTTATAAAAACATCTGTATCAGCATCACATATATTTTCAATATATCAAACCTTTTCATACAAAAAATTATATGAATTTTTTTACTTTTGTAATTTTTCTTATCAAAACTGATATAGTTTTATAAATTACGTTTGTTTACATAATTACATTATGAGTTACATTTGTTTTAAATAATTCATTTGGAGTATCTGTATTAAACTCTTCATTTTGAAGTTTATCAAAATACATTTTCCTTTTTTTCATAAGTCCATAGTAAAGTCCATAAAAATGTTTTTTTTTTTTCATTTCCAATAAGTACTTTTTAAATTAATTTAGCTGAACAACAAAAAGTATTAGTGGCTTGTAACAGGTTATTTACTTTGTCAAAATCTTCGAAAATAGTTTGGCAAACTCTAAGGGGCAGTGCCAATTTTATTTTTATTATACTTTTTGTAATAATCCTCCAAAGAAAGTATTCAGTATAACTTCAATATTTTTTCTAGTTGTCATCTTTTATTTTATTGCTTCAATACAATTGCTTCTTTACAATTTTTAAACAAAGCTGTTTAAGCATTTGATGTATTTTACCAAGTGTCATTATTCTGCAAGTGAAAGTTCCTAAAACCTTCTTTTCTATTGTTCCAAGTAGCAACATTAACACTTTTCCCAGTCTCCCAATATTTTGGGTGAAAAAATTATATTTATTCCTCATTTACATTATTCAAATTCAAAAAACTTTACTTAATTTTTTGATTGGCCCTAATTTTGCTTTTAATAGAGCTTTTTAAGAGAATTTTCTGAACTAGTATGAAAAAAACAAACCTCTTCTGTGAAGCAATCAGCACCACTTGACCAATTAAATTTAAAAGATGGTGAGCATTAAGCACTTTTTAACCCTTAATTTGAACTTTAATAACAAAACTATGAAAAGATTTGTATTCATTTTATGAATTACCCCTTGAGTTATTCATAAAACTGTTAACCAGTTTTCTGACCAGTTTTATATCTTGAAAAATCTGCTTTCTTCCATTACTAGTTTTGCATTAGATCATTTTGTTTGGGAAAAATGTTAAATAATATGGTATAGGGCATTATGGTATAGGGATGTCTCTGCAACTTTTTTGCAACTGAATTGTTGCTTCTATTTAGATTTTTTGATTATTTGTGCAAAAAATTTTTTCTGTCTTTTTCTTGTGTCATTTTTAAAACTTATTTTAAGTAGAATGGGAAAACTAAAACAATGTTTTGAAACCGTTACATGTTGCCAACAAAATACAAACACAATTAGAAATGTATTATTACAACGATTGTTAAAAATATATTATTACAACCATTTATATTGTGTACATGCTTTAATATTTTAAATATTGTATTATAATTTATTTAAAATGTGTTGTGACTAAATTATAATCAAAATTTATTTCTAAATAAATTCTTTATTAATTTCAGATGATAATTTTCAAATATGTTGAAGACAAAGATGTTTTTCAAAAGTTTTACTCCAAAATGTTGGCTAAACGTTTGGTTCAACAAAATTCTGCATCTGATGATGCAGAAGCCACAATTATTTCAAAGTTAAGGGTAATGTATTTGAATATTTTGTTTGCATAAAAATACTGTGATATAATTAAAAGAATTAAAACAAAAAAAAAAAAAAAACTTTATTTATTGAAAAAAAAATTACTGAATCCTTTAGGTCCTAACTAATTTTTACTTTTTTGTAATTAACTAATAAATACATTTAGATATTTTACAACCCAGAGGCAATCCACCGTTATAGAGTGATAGTCCTTCTATCATGGCAATCTACTGTTATAGAGCGATAGCCCTTCTATCATAGCAATCCACTGTTATAGAGTGATAGCCCTTCTATCATAGCAATCCACTGTTATAGAGTGATAGCCCTTCTATCATGGCAATCCACTGTTATAGAGTGATAGCCCTTCATAAAATCTGAATTGGCATTAAAACTGAAATATATATTAACTTCAAAACTTCATCAAAATGAGTGCAACCAAACAAATAATGATCAGAACTCTAACGAGGCCTTAGAGAGCTGGAAAAACAAAGAGTAATTATCAATAATAATGCGTTTGACAAAAGCAATAAAAATAAAGTTTTCGAAATAGTCAAAATAGTATTATTGACAGTCATAATTATTGACAATTATAATCAATTAGAATTAGAAATAAAAACTAAAATGTATATAGTAGTTGCAGGTCTTAAAGAAAAAAAAAGTTATAAAGACTTTGTAAAAAAGTTCTTTAAAGCAATCAAAGTAAACCACAAGGAAATTGTTTATGATTGCTGTTACAGAAAAAATAACCATCAAAGATCTTGTGAAAACTAACCTATATCTGGATCAACAAAGAACAATCCCATCAAAGTTGATCTGAATTTGACTGAAGACTTAAAAAACTTCAAAGTGTTAGAAAAGCATAAAATAGGGGAGAATTCTATAGTACTGATGTCTGATGTTCAAGGAAAGCAACTAGATGAATGTATGTTTTTGATGGAACATCAAGGAATATTACAAGAAGTATTCAACTACAGTAAAAGGATCCAACTTAGCTGAATGATGATTTATGTGAGATTGGTTTTTGGTTGATGAAGCAAATAATGATATCTGGCTTGAGTAGCAACCATGGTTGTATTTGTTGAAAAGAAAAAGTAGTGAATTATAATCTGAGATGTAAAGTAGAGAACTCAGTAAGAGTGTTTCCATGCATCAATATAGGAATATCAACATTTTAATGATAAATAGTAGAGTAAACAACTGAGCTTTTTTTGAGTTAAATTATAATAAAAACCTTTTATAGGAAAATTTGAGTATTATGCATAACTTCAACAAATTAAAATTTTGTAAGGGTGGGATAATAGTAAACATGCCATTAGTGATTGTAATATTGACGTAAATCAAAAATCATATTGCTTTTGTATTTTGGTATAAATTGAAGTTGTCCTCTCACATTGTCATCATATTAATGATCATCATATTAATGGCATCATATCAGTTGTGATAAGTTTTGCAAGATAAAAAGATTCAAGGTTTTTTGATATTTTGAAAGGATTAGTAGTATTTTGTTGATAAATTTGTTATTTTGTTGTCACATCAGAAGTAGTTATAATTGGTGTTTATAAATTTTTATCCATGATGGGGAGATGTAACACATTTAAGGAAAAAAAAAAGATTTTTTAAAGCAAAAAAAATATAAAATTAAGTAGTAAATGTTGAAGCATGTGAATTCATTAATTTTAACTTTTAAAAAATAGTGTAAGATTCATTAAAACTACGCTAAAAACCAAATATTAGATTATTTTGGCTTTGATAATTTGTAAAACCTCATCTGCTTAAATAGGATGCAATATTCAAATTCATTTTTCATTTGTACAAGTTACTAAAATAGTTTCAATTAAAAATTTCAATTTCATTTGAGGCAAAAGTTGACTTGGTTCAAGGTTGTTAAGTTGGAATGTTTGTTTTATCTTTTGTATCTTAATTTATAATGAGTTATATTGTAAAAATGTCATAAATCTTTGCATCATATTGCATAGCATTTTTTTGATACCAATTTTAAATACTTTAGAATTGCAATGTTTTTTTATTTAATTAATTTTGTTTTTTTAATAATCTTGTATTTTTATGATTTTGGTGTTGCAATTATCCTACCCTTAAAATTAGGGATGTAAAGGAGGTATATTGGAGGTGTAACGAAAGTTTTAAATTTACTCTATTGGAACAGAATTATTTTATAGCAAAATTTGTATACATATAAAAGATGCTTCAAAGCTTAACTCATGCTTCGATAGGTTTGATTTTGAATGATTTTATCAAGTTTTATTAATTTAGAAGTTATAACAAAGATCAATTGTGAAAATTTGATTGAAATTGAGAGTTTTGATTCAAGACAACTTTGTTTTGGTATTAAAAAGTTAAACTAAAACATTTATTAAAAGTTGTTTATAAACTTGGAATTGAAAGTCTTAGTTTAAACCTCCGGCTCCGATAAATCTCCAAAAGACCTCCGTTACATCTCTACTTAAAATATTGGTTTAAATAATTATTTTATTGTATATAATTTATACATTGATATGTAAAGATATTTTTGCCCACTTTTTCGTTACTGCACAATTTGTTAACTTCTTAAACCTAATATTAAAAGAAACTGTTTTTTTATCTAAATCAGACATTGGAATAGCTATGTTTTCGTTACATATATTTAATTTAGGCTTACATTTTATATAGTTTATTTCAAGCGTGCATACTTATAATAAATGCTGCATCTGTCTAGTGATAAAATTAATTATTATATCAAAACAAAACATTTTTTATGCTTTACTTATTAACTTTTTTTTATTTGAAAGAATGGAAAAACAAAAAAAATAGAAAAACCAAAGTTTCACTGAAGCAGCAAAAATTTAGAGTAATTGATAACTACGTAGAATTACTTATAACTTTATAGAAGTATCAATTATTGCTGAAGTTTTTATATTTTTACAAAATATAGCTTGTGGTGCTAGAAAAGTCCAATAAAGATTCATATGCTTGCAGGATAATAAAAAAGTTTTAACATAATTTTGTTGTTTTTTTATTTTTTTGATTAACTTCATAAACAATCAACAAATTTGATTTAGGAAATGTGTGGTTATGAATACACAAACAAACTGCAGAGAATGTTTCAAGATATGAATGTTAGTAAGGACTTAAATGATAAATTCAAAAAGCATGTTTCAAGTCAAGAAAATGGTGAAGGTAATATATGTATATATATATTTTTTAACTTATTTGTCAATGTTTTGTCATTAATATCATAATTATTCTCTTTGTTTAGTTGATTTCAGTATCCAAGTTTTATCTTCTGGTGCTTGGCCTTTTCAACAATCTCCTATATTTACATTACCCCCTGAGGTTAGTGTGACCAGAGGTTAGCATTAACAGTTGTTAGCATATGTAAAAGTTATTGCGACTTGAGGTTAGCATTTAATATATAGTTATTATGATCAGAAGTAAGTGACCTAAGGTTAGTATGTGACTGTGACCAGAGGTTAGTATGCATAAAGGTTACTGTAATCGGAAGTAAGTGTGACTAGAGGTTAGCATGCATAAAGGTTACTGTGATCAGAGGTCCGTGTGAATGTAAATCTGATAAAAGAATAACATTACCTAAGTTGAGGGTTAACAGAGGTTAGTGTAAAAGAGGTTTGTGTGAGCATAATTTAGTGTGACCAGTAGTTAATTCTTTTTAAATTTATTATTGTTTGGAAAAATAGATAGTCATTAATATCAAACTAAAATATTTGCTCTTTGGTTTGAATTTGTTTATGTGTGGAACAGGATAAATTTAAATAAAGTAATTTGTTTTAGTTGGAAAGGTGTTTACAGCGATTTACAACATTTTATAATGCTCAACATAGCGGTCGAAAATTACATTGGCTCTATCAACTATCAAAAGGAGAACTTGTTACTAATTGTTTTAAAAATAGATATACATTACAGGTAATGTTGTATTGTTATTGTCATTAATTATTTTTCTTTGGGCATTCATATATAAGTATTTATATAGTAGTGTCAAGCCTTCTCAGGAGAGGTGTGTCTTATAAAACCACGCACACAGCTTTTTGTTTTGACAACTTGGTCAGGGCACTTTGCATGGTTTGATAATTTGCATGTTTTAAAAATGCAATGAAAAAACTAAACTGATGAGGAAATTAAAAATAAATAAACCATAAATTCAAAAGAGAAACAAAGTCCTAATGAATAATAAATTAATTAAAAGATAAACCAGCAGAAACAAAAACATGAAATTAATATATTATTTTTTAATTTAAAAGTGATTCAGTTAAAAGTTTAAACCTAATAATCAGGCTTGGTCGGGAAGCGGGTGCGGTTGCACTCGATAATAGACCATGGAAATATTATTTAGTTGCGAAAAACCAGCCAGATTTTTTAGTCGTTTTGAGAACATTTCAAAAACAAGCAAAAAGGCGCAATAAGATTAACTGGACTGACGAGAGACAGTTAAAAAAAACAAAAATAGCTTTTAACGCGAAAAATTGCAAAGAAAAATTATTTTTGAAACGTCGCTCTTTTATAACTTTTTTTATAAAATAAAGCAACATTTTTTATATAAAGTAACAACTATAAAAAAAACAATGTTCTTTGATTTATCAAAGAGTATATATAATTTACTTATGTCTTATTTCCAGCGCTGAATTGAGGAGGTGGGGTGGGGGTAGTAGGGCTATAGCCCCGGGACTCACAATGTTAGGGGAAATAGTCAAGAGGACCATTCGGTATTTTTTTAAGTCATTTTTACGCTGTGGCACATAAAAAAGGCCGTCAAAATAATGCAGCCCCCGGCCCTGAAAAGACCAACAAGATTCAACCAGATAATTTATTTATAAATAAAAGTTTTTTCAATAACTGTTTTATGCTTCGCGTAGTTTAAAAAGTTTAACACATTTGAAACAATTCTTCTTAATAAGATGAAGAAATGAAATAATTAAATGATTGAGTTATTGTAGAAATTCAATTAGCTAGATAGAAATTAACAAAAAAAGTTAAATTACTTTGTGAGGAGGCTTCAAGAATTAAAATAATAGTTCGTTTGATAGTATACTCTTAAAATAATTTATGCTAGAAATTTCAACAAAAACAAAATTCAAATAATACTGTTTTTTAAAATATTTCAACATATTCAGGACTTTAGAAATTTCGGTTAGTATTTTTTGAACCAATAGAATTAGTTGTTCGTAGATTTGGCGGGTTTTTTGTGTTTGCAAATATTCTTTTTTTATTTTTCCGCACTTAAGTGTTTGAGAACATTCAAGTTTATGTATGTGTCCATGTAAGTCTGTAAAACAAAATATTTTAAAATTTACGACAAAATGAACTTATTATTTTGTGGACAAACAAGGAAACATACATAAACTTAAATGTTCTCAAAATGACTAAAAAATCTGGCCGGTTTTTCGCAACTAAATATTATTTTCGTGGTCAGTTATCGAGTGCGATCACACCCGCTTCCTGACCAAGCCTGAATAATTAATTTAAAAGTGTCTACATCTGTGTAACGCTTAGATTGTCTCAATTCATAGTTTAAAGTTAATTCGTTCAATATCTCTATCAGTGTAGCGCTTAGGTTGTCTCAATTCATAGTTTAAAATTAATTTGTTCAATATCAGTCTACATCAGTGTAGCACTTGGGTTGATTAAATGTTGTATTTATTAGATATGACTGTTAGTTTGACGTTGAGTGTAGGTTCAAATTCTTTTAACTGATATTTTTTTAATGTTTTATTTGCTTAGTAGATGTTGGAAAATATCAAAGTTTCCACTTTTTAAATAATTATGTTTCAAAGTAATTAAATTTGGATTAAATAGCTTCAAAACTTTGGTCTTTTCTAAGTTCCGTAAAGTGAAACACTTTTAAATCAAAATAAAATTTTATCCTTTTACTTTTTCTGGTTTTCCTTTTATTTATTATTCATTAAGATTTTTATATTTTTAGTTTAGTTCTGTAAATTTTTTTTTTTTTTTGTAATTTATTTTTTCAGTTTAAAGTTTGTTTTTTTTTAATTTTAGTTTAAGTGTACATTTATTGCATTACATTTAGCTCATTTTTTAAATGCAGTAGTTCTCCCAACCTGCAAAGATCTGTGGATAAGTTTTCAAAACAAAATACTATATGTATTGTCATATAATTTTTGTTCATTGTTTGTTTCAGAATAATTTAATTTAGTTAATTTTTTTTTAACTTGATAAGGCATCAACTCATCAAATGGCTGTACTGTTAATGTATAACAGTGAAGATAGTTACACTGTTGAACAAATACAAGAACATACCCAAATTAATATGGTATAATTTTTTATAGATTTAGAATAAATTTGGTTTTGAGTTTTTTTCATTATGTTTTTATATAGTTTTACTTATCTGTCTATATACTGCTTTATATATCAGTATACGAGTTCTCTTGTGATCTGAACAAAATAAATGGTTTACGAGTATCCCTTAATTGTTTTCTTTCATAGATAAATAGTAGTTCTTTTCAGCCAACAAGGCTGCAAGAAACCAATTTTTAAGTTAGTAGTATAAATTAGATTGTATCAAATATAGAATTAAATTTTATTAAAACAAAATACAGGGCTGTTTACCAATTGAATTAGCAAGATGAGGCTGAGTTTAAATTGGCTAGACGAGGCATTATGTTGTGGAAAATTAAGTAATGATCATCATTATTTTTAATGATTTTTTTTAAAAGCTTTTTTTTAAAAACTTTTTAAAAAAATGATTAAAAGTTGTCATTTCTCCTCTACCAAAAAAGAAAAAAAAAATTTCTTTACCAAAAGAACAACAAAAAATTAAAAAAATGAAAAAGTATTAAATAATTGGTTGAAGAAATTGAAAATTTCCTAAGCAGTTACCTTTTTTTAAAGCAGCCATCTTTAGTCTTTAAATTTGCCTCTAACTTCTGGTATAACCTTTTCATCATTTTTTTCAGACTCATTTGTGTTGTCAAGGTTATCCATGGGTACCACGTATTTTATCACTGTTTCTTTAGGTGACAGTTTTAATGTTTTATCAACTAGGTTCCATGCCTGCTAAGTATAATGGGTCTTTAATTGCAAGTGGTTAATCTTTTTTTTTGGGTATGATGATAATTGTTATGGCTAAACAAAAAACAAATAGTTCTTTTTCTCAACTTAGGAAAGTAAACTAACTGAAAATGAATGCAGTTCAAACGACAATTTTGAGTTTTTCACTTAATAATGTTTAAATAAGTATCTGACAACCTGTAACATTTCTATAAAAACATTTTTCCAGCAGATAATACCAAATATTTTTCATCTTTTGTCTAATTAATGTCTAATTAAGTATATAATTAAGTAAAATTGAAAAACATTTCTTCTTTTCTTTACTTTTTGTTCTATTTTTATTTTCTATTATTATTATTTTACTCCATATATCTTTTGCATTCATCTTCAAAAAATAATTTGTAAAAATAAAAATAAATCCTTTTTTTTTTATTTTTATTAATTTTTATTTTACTATATCTTTATATTTTTATTATATTTTTTTAAGCTTCATTGTTACATCTTTTATAAACTTAATAACATTTATTTTTTATAATTTTTATGATTTAGGATATTCTTCAACAAGTGTTAAGTATATTAATAAAAATTCGTTTATTGGTAAGTTCATTTTATTTATAAGCTATTTGTTTTTATAACTATAATTTACATTTTTAAGCATAATAAATTTTTTTTAAAACATAATTTTATAATGTGGTTTGAATGTGGTTTGCTAATACAAGAGTTCATTAGAGAAAGGCTCTATGGTGGTGATTAAAGAAAAGCTCTATGGTGGTGATTAGAGAAAAGCACTAAAGTGGTGATTAGAGATAAGCTCTATGGTGGCTGATATTTATTGTTGTAAAGGTTGACACATTGTTATCAAAAAGGGAAAAGCGATAGAACCTGAAAATAACAATACTGTAGAAAATCTAAACCATTTCTTACAACAATATGTTTTTGTATTTTGGTATTTTTTTTCTTAATTCATTATCCTTTTTTTATCACTTATCAGTTTCTTTAATCTAAAAAACCCATCATCTTTTCATGCCAATGCTAGCAAATTTAAAAGTTACCCAGACAAACTTTCTAACTTGTTTTTTGGATCTCTTTTCAAACTTTCAATTCTTGATTTATGCCTTTATCTCTAACCCTTGTTTATTTTCAGTTTCTTTTTATTCTAATCCTAACATGTGTTCAGTTTTTTTTTAATTCTAATCCTAGTCTGTGTTCAGTTTCTCTTTGTTTCAACTCTAGCCTGTGTTCAGTTTCTCTTTGTTCTAATCCTAGCATGTGTTCAGCTTCTTTTTATTCTAATCCTAGCCATTTTGTAGTGCTGATTATGCTTTGATCTAAAACTTTATTTAACTAATAAATTGTTTTAATTTAACTTTGCCAAAAGCTAATTGATTTTTATGTAATGGTGCTTGTTGCCTTGTGTTTGTTAAGCACCTGCATTTGCATGCATTTGCATCTTTTGGAAAGTTGCGCTTGACATGCAAATTGGTTATTGTTTATTTACTTTTTTTATGAAACGAGTTTTCATTCCATTTCATTTTGTTTTTATGAAACAAAATAAAACTTTTTCTTTTTTTTTCTAAAATTAACTGTCTACTTAATTTAGAATAATAAAATAAATAAACTTTCACTGGTTTGCATGTCAAAAAATCTAGCTTAAATCACTTAGGTGTCTAGCATGTTTATTTTATTATGTTTTACAAAAACTTGTTTGGTTTTGTGCTGATTTTTATATAATGAAAATTATCATATTTTTAAAGTGCAAAACAAATTTATAATTTTGCTTAAAGATATTTATTTATTTATATTATAAATATATATGATATATGATATATTATAAATATATATACATACTAGTGATATATACATTTTTTGGATGAATAAATTAAATCAAATAAAGTAAAATAATATTTTAGTCAATAAAATTGTTGTTTTTAAAAAACAATTAAATTTTGTTTCCTCAAATATTTTAATGGATTTGTTTTTAAGTTTACTTGAATTGTCTGTTTTTGTTCTCTGGCTTCTGTCAGCGTGTTTTTTGCAAAGCATCCTTGTTTGACATGAACATACTAAAGATTGAAGTTTGAACAATATCTAAAATTTTAACATTTGAAATATAAAAATTTCTTGCTAATATCTATGGTCACAAACATAAATTTGTTGCTATCGTCACAAACATAAATTTGTTGCTATGGTCACAAACATAAATTTGTTGAGTCATAAATAGTAGTAAAATATTTATAATGTAAAATATTTGTAATTTTTAAGATTTTTTTAACATAAAAAATATTTATAATATAAAAAAATGTTTATAACATGACTTTTAGCTAATAAACTACTTAACAAGTGGTTTTAAATAAAACACCATATAAAGTTTTAACAAAAGTAATAACATAATGGCTTCTACATAAATTAAGTTACATTGCAATAAAGTCATCAAATTGTTTTGAGGGAGATAAATATTAGCATCAGTGTAAATGGCTTTTTTATTTTTTGATTGACACATCAATCATAAAAATATTTATTGTAAAAGATTTTTATCATTAAAATATGAGTTTTATAGCAGATATCAGTTTTTCTTATAAAAATTTATTTGTTTTAGTTCTTAAATTTTACAAGTTTGATTTTGTTTGTTTTTTACAAAGCAAAAAAACAATTTTTTTGAAGCTATAAATCTTTCATTTTGTACTATTTATTACATAATCTTTTTGAATCGGTTTTATTAAAACAATATTTTCTACTGTTTTGTCTTGTTTTGTATTGTACCATTATGTAACGCAGGTGCTTACTGTTTTTTTTTGGAGCTCTTTTTGATTTTTGTCAACTTATGCTGAGTCATAGTCTTGACTTTCACTTTCACTTTTTACTTTCTGGAAGTTTTAATCAAACTAGAATATATGGTTGTTGAATTGGATTTACATTGTTCTGCCATAGTGGTACCCTTACACTGTAATGCAGCTATGTCTATTTATATAAAAGGTTTTGGCATGCTCATACTAGTTAAATAATAACTAAAGTTTGAAACATGAATTTGAACCTTATACTTTATAAATAAGTTTAAAATCTTGAAAATAAAAAAAATGGTTTGGATGTATTTAGTTTGAAATTTTATATTTTTTGATTTATTGTTACAACCCTTTACATTTATTCTTACTGTATAAACCATTTAGTGTTTTCATGTTAGTTGCACAAAAAAGCCTGAAACAAAGAAATTCTATAGCTCTTTTTCAGAAAAGTAATAGATAAGTGTTCTTTCATTTTAGTAATATAGCAATAAAAAAATATTAAATATCTATATTTTTTATATTTTAGATTAGCAATCCTACTATTGTTGAAAATTTCCCTCTTACTTCTGTAATACATCTTTATAAAGAATACAAAAAGTAGGTTGTTGAAGTTTGATAATAATCGATTAAAAAAACACAAAAAATACAAAACTTTAAATAAGATACCACATATATAAGTTTTGTTTTTACAGTAAAAAACTTCGTGTAAATATAAATGTACCAATGAAAACTGAGCAAAAACTGGAGCAACAACAAACTCACAAATATATTGAAGAAGATAGAAAATTACTTGTACAGGTTACAACTTTTTATCCTCTTATATATATATATATATATATAATATATATATATATATATATATATATATATATATATATATATATATATATCTGTGTGTGTGTGTGTGTTAAGACACATTTTAGAAATTTGGTATATGTTAAAAAACAAATGTAAAATATTTAAATCTTATAGTTTCTATACTTTTAGGCTTGTATAGTTCGAATAATGAAAATGCGTAAAGTTATGAAGCATCAGAATTTACTTACAGAAGTACTTACTCAACTATCTGCCCGGTTTAAACCTGGAATACCTGTAATTAAGGTAATTATATTATAAGTTAAACGCTTATTATTAGTTATTTGTAAATCTTTTTTTTTTTAAATTTTTATTTTAGATAAATAAACTAGATAATTAGATTTTTAATTAAATTAATTTATTTAAAAATATTTTTGTAAAATTTTGTCTATTTATTTATCTACTAAATATTTTTATCAAAATTACATTTTAACTATCAACCTATACATACATACGTACATCTATACATACATACATACATACATACATACATACATACATACATACATACATACATGCATACATATATTTTATTACTATTTTCTCATTGTTTAAACATAGATGATTGTTTTTTTTTTTAGATATATTTGATTAATAAAGATGACTTTTTTCAGATACAATTAATACATATTTTTTTATTTAGAAATGCATTGACATTCTTATCGAAAAAGAATATCTTGAACGTGTTGAAGGGGAGAAAGATACATACAGCTACTTAGCATAAACTCAGAGTTCTAATGCGTTTTTGTAATATATGGAGAAATGTAATTTCTTCCAAAAAATTCATGATTGGACTGGCAATAATATGATGGATTTAGGAATGAACTTTCTCTAGCACTATATCTAGAGTTATTTTTTTAAAATCACATGACATTTTTTAGATAATTTTTTTATTATCTATAAATAGCTTCAATGTTGTGCAATAAATAGTTGCAATGTTGTTCAATGACTAGCTGCAATATTGTACAGTAAAGTTTATTGCAGTAAAGTTTCATCAACTGTTATTTTTTCAAAAAATCTTTAATGTTTCTACAATGTTGTGAAAACAAAAAACATGAAAAGTTAATAAATTGTTTTGTTTCTCTTTTAATCATAGTATAATATTTAAACGTTTTTTTTCCTCTTTAAATAATGTTGTTTAAAATAAAGTTGACAAGTTTAGGTTTTTTATCTAATATGTTTAGTATTTCAATTCCTATGATAATTCAAGAATTTAATCGAGGTTGTATTATTTTTTTTTATATAAGTTTTTTTTTTCTTTATATAATTTGCTTTTTTTATAGTTATTGGTATTATTATTGTTTTTTATAATTATATTTAGTTATAAATATAAATGCTATTATTTGCGTTTTTATCTTTATAATTTTGATTATAAGTACAAATAATTGTTATTACTATTGCTTTTATTAATATTATTGCAAATATATAATTAATTTTATTAAACTTTTAGTTAAATATATAAATAATTTTATTAATAGTATTACAAATACAGAAAAAAAGTTCAAGTTATCGATAATATATTATTATTAGTTTTAATAATATTTTCTTTTTATTATTATTATTGTTGTTAAGGTTAATTTAATTAAACACTAAGTTTTTGAAACAATTTTTTGTGCAATGTCTGATGTGTTTATCACGCAGTTTAAAAAGAGCTTTGTATGACATTCTGGATATGTTGTATCTAGACTATATACAATATATTACAATATTTTTCATTCTGAAGAAATTTTTATTAAACTTATTGAATTTTTGTTTGTTAATTTGATATTTAAATAATATTTGCAAAAAATAGTATTAAATAGGGTTTTTAATTTTTTACAAATAAAAACTATTTGTTAAGATGGTTAAAAGCCTTTGAAGCATTTATAGTTGTTGAAAGTTTGAAAGTTGTTGGAGAAATACCTTAAACGGATATTTCTCTATCAGATATTTTTTTTAAGTAAAATTTCTATCATATCATAATATTAAAAGATTGTTTTCTATAGCAAATGAGTTTGTTTAACAAATAGTTTTTTTTTTGGTCGATCTGTTTTGTTTAAATTAAAATGGAGGATGCTGGATTGTTACATCATCATAAGATTTACAAACTTTATAAAATCAGATGGTTTGTACTTTCTACAGTTGTTATGTTTAATTTAGCCAATGCTATGGTAATTTTTTACTTTCATAAAAAATTTCAAAATGTTTTCTAAAGCTCATGTTATTTTGTATAAATGTTCTTTTAAATTATCCATATCAAAATTTAGGTCTGGATTACATTTGCACCAGTCACAAATTATGTTTCTGCATTTTTTGACATTACTGAAACAACCGTGAATTGGTTTTCCTTAGTCTTTTTTATAGCTTTTATCCCTTGTTGTTTCGCTTCTTGGTGGTTTATGGAAACCTACGGGCTTAAAACAGCTGTAAGTTTAAACTTTGAGTTATGTGAAAATTATAAAGTATTGAACCTGTGCACTCATTCAAAATTTTGTATAAGTAAATGGTGATTTTCTTTATAGAGATTTTAAAAACGTTTATTTCAGATCATAATAGGTTCACTTGTAATGTTTTCTGGGGCATATTTAAGAGTTCTCGGTGTTTTCCTGTTTGAAAAACCAAATATTCGTTTTATTATTACAATGATTGGTCAAGTGTTATGTGCTACCACCCAACCTTTAGTGTTATCTATGCCTACAAAAGTTGCTGCATTGTGGTTTGGTGATAAAGAGCGAACAATTGCTAACACTATTGCATCAATGTGTATGTTTGTTTTTTATTGCATCAATGTGTTTGTTTGTTTTGTATTGCATCAATGCATATGTTTGTCTTGTATTGCATCTATGTGTATGTTTATTAGTTGGTTTTTGTTTTTATTGAATTATCAATAACTTAGATTAGAATTAATAGACTTATTTTCAATATCTATTTTTAATCTTTTTTTTCAATTTCAGCAAATCCTTTGGGTGTATTAATTGCAAATGGAGTAGCTGTATTATTAGTTAAAGAATCACGTGATGTACCTTACTTGGTAAATATTACTCTTGTTATGCTGTTACAATATATATATATATATATATATATATATATATATATATATATATATATATATATATATATATATATATATATATATATATATATATATATATATATATATATATATATATATATATATATATATATATATATATAATATATATATATATATATATATATATATATATATATATATATATATATATATATATATATATATATATATATATATATATATATATATATATATATATATACAGTGACACTCAAAAGTCAGATGACATTTAAAACAAGTGAATATTTAGGCATTATTTTATGAATGAAAAGATATTTATGGGTAGAAAGTGTTTAGTTTAATAGAAAACAAAAAGAATGTTTGAAATAAAAATAGAACAGCAGTTGATTAAAGTTAAAACGATAAAAAATTAGGTAAAACGCAAAAAGGTGCTGCTCAAAAGTTTGTTGGCAGCAACAAGAACACAAGTTTAAACAAAATAGTTTTGTTATTTTGGTGCAAATGCAATCCATTTAATATTTTGTTGGTCTGTCTTTAGTATCGATAACTGTTTGCAAGCATTTTGGTATCGAAAGTACCAATTTCTGAATGAAATTTTTGTCAATTTCTTCTGTTTGATTATTGTAAACATGTCATTTTTTGAGTTTCTTTCGTTTTGAGGAATAGTTTTATCCAAGTATTTCCATATATTTTCAATTATATTTAAATCTGGTGATTGAGCAGGCCAATCGAACTTGAAAATGTCATGATCAGCGAACCAATCTTTGACGATCTTTGTTGTATGTTTTGGATCATTATCCTCCTGCCAGATAAAATTGATCATCTTACACCTCCCGCACTCAATCCAAATATCTTTGCTACTTCTCTCAATGACTTTCCTTCATCTTTAATTAAACGATAAATTTCAATCCTGGTATCATTTGAAGTTTCACGGTGTGCTCAAAAAAGTTTATTTCGTCAATATGCTGTTCAAACCAAATTTTAAATGACATTTAAAATGCTTATTTAAAATATTATTTAACTTAATTAAGCCATTTAAGCCTGCTTATTTCATTAACTTACAGGTGATTACATGTTAAAAAAAAACACTTATCAACAGACTTTTAGATTTAGCCAAATTTTTAAATCGTTTTATATTAACTTATCTATTTATATTTTTTCGCTATTTTAGTAATACTTACTTTTCTTTTTGGTTTTTGATCGCGATACAGCAGTTTTTCAGAAAATATTTGTCTGTCAACTCACGTTTAAGCATCACCGTGTATATATATATATATATATATATATATATATATATATATATATATATATATATATATATATATATATATATATATATAAAAGAAATATTTCATTAGAATAATCCTAAAACTATTACCACAATACGAAAAGCAAAAGAAATCCTAAAACTAATACCACAATACGAAAAGCACTTGATATTATTTCAACAAACATTATTAAATCAGGTTCAGAATTATTTAGTCAAATTATAGCTGACCTTGCCAACCTCTCATTCAAATCTGGAATTTTCCCAGTCTTGTTCAGGGTTGCTCAAATTACACAGATTCCAAAAAATTAGGATAAATATTATTTGATGATGATTTACACCCCATATTAAATTATGCCCCATATTAAATACAATATCCAAAATTTTTGAAAAGCTTGCTTTATCTCGGCTGCTTTCACATGTAACTTCAACGGTAAACTTCAATCTTTTTCAATTTGGTTTTAGGTCTAATCATTCAACAGAAACAGGTCTTTTAATGATATGCAATGACATCCTGTTAAACATTGATGATGCCTTAACCACCATTCCCCTTTCTTTGGACATATTTGCAGCATTTAATCCAATCAATCCCAACCTGCTAATTGCTTGTATAAAAGATGAATTTGATGTCACAGATATGTGTATATTGTATTAATTTTTTTTTTTTCAAACATCTTTGCTTCTAACAAGGCTGCAAGCAACCACAAGCAAGGGTAGATTACTCATCAAGTACATTACCATTCATAAATTTGAGAAGGTCTAAATTATTGCGATAATGATTGGGTGAAAAAATTTAGTTTTATCTGAATTAAAATTCACCAGCCACTGTGAGGCCCATGCTGTAGCAGAAATGAGATCCTTTTCAAGCTCAAATGCCCCCTCCAAGCAATCAAAGATTGTTGGCTTCTTATCATGACAAGAGTAAATGGTAGTATCATCAGCGAACAATGGCACCTTAGATGTGAGAATTTCTGGTGTTCTCACATCTCACATCACAGTAATACATATTAGGTTAACAGTAATAACCTATCGGTTATTACTGTTAGCAAATCAGCCATAGAATGAGAAGATCAAAATCCATATTGATGGTCAGAAAGTAAGTTATTAGATTCAAGATGAGAGATTAAGTGTTTGTTAATTAAAGATTCAAAAACCTTGCTTATGATAGGAAGAAAACTAGTGGGACGGTAGTTAGACAAATCAGATCGCTCTCCAGAGTTTTAAAAAATAAGAATAACAGATGCTGATTTCCAGCAGGCTGGAAAACAAGACTCTAATAAGCACTTGTTGAATAGTTTTGAAATGATAGACGACAGCTCTGGAGAACACTTCTGCAAGACTATAACAGGTATGTTGTCCGGGCCACAAGTTGTAGAAGAGTCTAAGCAGGAATTCACTTTAGATACAGTAGCTGGAGTGATATGATGTCAAGCAATGGATCAACCTGTTTGATGGCTTTATCAGGTAGAACGCAACTAGTGGAATCAAGAGATGATATTGATGAAAAGTTCTTAGTAAACAATTCAGCTTTGTCTTTAGATGACAAAGTCGGAACCATGCAAAAGAGGTGGAATTTCAAACTTGCCTTTTATTATTGATACTATTAAAGATTCTCCAGAAGTCATGAGAGCCTAATTTTTGTGATGAAATACGAGATTTTATGACCTGAGAATAGTAAGTTTTGGCGTAAGACAAAATCTTTTTACAATGGTTCCTAGCAGTTATAAATAGACGTCTGTTTATAACTGCTAGGAAAACCATGGAGAAGAGTGAGGCTTGACCTGGAATTGTCAAGAGGGAATAAAGGATTTAATGCTAGCCTGAATCCACGAAGTTATGTAAAAAGCAGATTTGTCAACAGGACAAAAGATTTCTACTCATGGGCCATCATGAAGAAAATCACAGAAAGAGTCCCAGTCAGCTTTAACGTAATTGTAAGAGGTACGATGGCAGGGGATTTTGATGAATAAGAAGAATTAGATAATAGTTTTAGAGAGATTGTGGTCAGAAGCACCTAAGGGTGAATGTGGAGAAACTGAGCACTGACTAGTATCAGAAACAAGGCATAAGTCGAGTAGAGAAGGTAAATGATTTGGGTTGTCTGGGAAGCGAGTTAAATATTTGTGTTAAGGATTGAGAAAGGCAAAAGTTGTAGGCTTTAATGCCTGCAGAGTCACTGACACTAGAGCCAAGCCATTCAGTGTGATAAATATTCAAGTCACCAACAACAACAATATTGGCTGTTGGATAAAGAGAGAAGGCTTGGTTAATATGATAAGAAATAACATCAAGATAAGTGCAGTCGTACTCAGTACACTGTTTAATAGCCCAAGCAATTGCCTCATTACTATTAATAAATCCTAAGTCATAACAAAGGGCTCCAATGTGGCCTTGGCAATGTACACTAAAAGTACAAACAGGATCACCATCCATGTGTAACATGGTACTGTTAATACTTTGATATTTTTTAGCTTTTGATGGAATCAGCTTCTCTAAGAGCCACCATAGTGTTCGGGAAACCTGACTACCAGCCAGCCTCAGAACCATAAAACTGAGTTTTAGAACTGTACCCTCATTAGGAAATAATAAAATGAGTTGGCATAAAAAGGCATAAAAATAGAGACGCAAGCAAAACCCATGCATCGAGTCAAGAAGATCCAGCATTCAACATTATAAACTGGAAACTGTATTAAAAATACATCTGCGCCAGCCTAATAGATGAAGAAAGGGTGCGAGGCTGGTCAACAGATAGAATCTGTTTACCCCTTAAGCTGACATCATGCTTGCACTCTTGAACATCCTTTGTTTCTATTGGCTTAACAAAATCTAGATTGTCGGCAAGTTCAACAGGCGTACCACAAGGTAGTGTATCAGACCCATTTTTATTTTCGATGATTGTTTCACCCGTATATCATATTATGGCTAAACATGGCATAAATCATCATCATTATGCCAATGATACCCAAATATATATTTTCATTAACTCAGGAAAAGATTACATCAACAAAATCACTAAATGAAATAATGTAGTCACAAAATGGTTTCTAGAAAATGGACTTTTGATTAACTCAAGCAAAACAGAAGCTATCTTATTTGGATCTAAGAAACAAACTGGAAACTTTAATCTTTATTATTATTATTATTTTTATTATACATATATTTTTAAATGTAATTTTATTTATTTAATGTAAGGAATTTAACTTGATTCTAACAACTTGATATACCTCTACTGTAGTCTCAGTTTGCAAAACTTAAAACTATGTTTTATGATACAACTTAAGCACAAGTAATTCTTTTTCTTTTTTTCTTCTTGAAGTTTTATTTTTCTGTGTTTATTTTACTTATATTTTATCATTAAAATAAAATTTGAATTGATAGAATTATTTATTAGGTAAAAAGTAAAAAGTTTTTTAACATTTTTTCAGTAAAATTCAAATGGTTTTTTTATAGTTCGAAAATGAATTTGTTTAAACTAAATAAGCTGTATTATTATTGACAATAATTTTATTTTCAATATTTTCAATATTTTATAATCAATATGGATTTCGATCTGCTCATTCTACAGCTGATTTCCTAACAGTAATAACCGATAGGTTTTATCGTGCATTAGATAAAGGTGGAGAGGTTAAGGCCATCGCTTTTGACATTTCTAAAGCATTTGATAATATATATATCCAAACAACCAAACTATATCCAAACAAAAGTTTGACATACTGGTCTTCTCTATAAGCTTTCTTCTTATGGTGTATCTGTTAACATCTTTAAGATTATTGAATCCTTCCAATCGTAGTATAAAAGTTGTCCTTGATGGACAGCACTCATCTTATTCTGTAACCTCAGGAGTTCCTCAAGGTTTAATCCTTGGTTCTATATTCTTTTTAATTTACATTAACGATCTTTCAGATTTTCTCACACCTAAGGTGGCATTGTTCGCTGATGATACTACCATTTATTCTTTTCATGATAAGAAGCCAACACTCTCTGATTTCTTGGAGGGGGCATTTGAGCTTGAAAAGGATCTCACTTATGCTACATCATGGGGCTCACAGTGGCTGGTGAACTTCAATTCAGATAAAACTCAATATTTTTCAGCCAATCGTTATCACAATAATTTAGATCTTCCTATATTTATGAACGGTAACATACTTGATTAGTCATCTTCCCTTCATCTTCTAGGATTAACTCTTACTTCTGAAACCTTCTTGGAAACCATATATTAAATTCGTTGCAAAATTAGCATCTGCTAAAGTTGCATCTCTTTATCGAGCTTGACACTTTCTTACTCTATTCTCTATCTCTATTACTCTATTCTCTATCTCTATAAATACTCTATTCTCTATATCTATAAATCTCAAATCCGACCTTGTATGGAATAATGTTGCCATATCTTGGGCGGATCTTCTAATGATGCCCTTTCTCTTTTAGACAAGGTGCAAAAGCGCATTGTAAACATATTTGGACCTGCTCTTGCATCAACCTTCAACAATTATCACATCGCCGTAATGTTGCTACTCTTTCTCTTTTCTACAAATACTATAATAGGCACTGTTCTAAAGAGTTAGCGTCTCTTGTGCCATCTACTAAAATTCACTCTTGTGTTACTCGTCATTCAATTGTCTCATCCTTTTTCTGTTACTGTTCCTAAGTGCTCCAATAACTCTTATTCGTCTAGTTTTTTTCATCAAACATCAGTTCTTTGGAATTCGCTTCTTCATCTTGCTTTCCTGATTCATATAATTTGCAATCTTTTAAGTCATCTGTCAATCATTATCTTGCTCTACAATCTTCATCTTTTCTCTTCCAGTAACTTATATACTAACTATATATACATATATATATATATATATATATATATATATATATATATATATATATATATATATATATATGTATATATATATATATATACATATATATATATATATATATATATATATATATATATATATATATATATATATATATATATATATATATATATATATATATATATATATATATATATATTATATTGTATTATATAAGAAAATATTTATTTGCTAAAATTTTAAAAATTTCAGAAAAGATATATGCAAGTTTTTTTCAAGATAATTTTTTTCTAAACTAATGTTTTAAAGTTTTTATAGGTTTCCATTTTTTCTGTTCCTGCTTATATTGGATTGGTTATGGCTGTAATTGGTGTAAGATCCAGCTCACCACCAACCCCACCTTCTGTCTCTGCTGAGCATGAGCCAGAGTCATTCTTTCTTGGGCTAAAACATGTTTGGTTTTTTTCTTAACTTTTTTTAAATAAGTATTTCATTGTGTATTTTAAAGTTTAAAAATTTCTATTGAGTTTTTATTAAAAATGTAATTTTTAGGTATTTCGAAACAGACAATTTATGCTTCTTTGTGCTACGATCGGTTTTGGAATTGGATTATTTAGTACTATTTCAACTATACTTCAGCAAATGATTTGCCCCCAAGGGTATTCTAATGTAGGTAGACACTAATATTTGTAATATGTATGTATACATGTATATACCAGAGGTGTCAGAAATAGTGAATTTGTGGAATATAGAATAACAAATATTTAGTAAGGCACTCAGCTGGCGCATCGAATATTCTGTGACCCTTAGTTAATTTTAAAGCTTCTGACTTGCTTCATTGAAGTAGATACCTTAACTACGCTGTGTGCGCTTTTGTTTCATTTGTGGCTAGGCTGTGTGACAGCACACATTATTTGTTAACTGTTACATCAAATTGTTTTTACATTAATTGTTTTAAATTTAATTTTTTTTTTATTGTTTTAGTTATGTACACTGTGACAAATATATTCCGGTACAACCCTGTGTTAACAATTTCCTGTTATTTTATCAATTTTTTGTTCATTAAAAAATATTTAAAAGTACCGGTATGTTATCTAATTGTAAAATGCAAATATATATATATATATATATAAATATATATAAATATATATATATATATATATATATATATATATATATATATATATATATATATATATATATATATATATATATACATATATATATGCCGATCTCAAACTTTTAAGGGTCGGCATTAGGTGGGCAAAAATATTTTGACAAAAATTTTAAAAAATTTTGACTCCATGGAAACAAAAATTTTAAAAATTTTGAAAGTACAACATCACATAAACGTGACGTTAACCAACCAGGGTCAATCTTCAGTATCAAATGAGGAAATAAGGAACTTATTTTTGTGCCAACACTTCGAGATTGTTTCACTCCTTGTATTAATTAGGTTATCTCCTTTATACATTAAAATTTGAAACATTAGTTCAAACATAGGTTGCAAACTCTTGATGCTGGGTTGTATGGTTTGCATTGCTTAATAATCTTCCATCTGACAAAAGGTGTATAAGTATAAAGAAAAAAAATTTAAAGAAAAAGTTTATTTTGGACTCAGCAAAACATCTTTTAAAGTTTGGTATGCAAATCACCTAAATACTTTTAATGTAATTAGATATAAGAATGACACAGAGTTATCAAAAGAAGTATGGAAATTAAAAAAAATGATGATTATCGTTAAGCATGAAACTTATAGTTCCATAATAAAAATTTTTTCTTTTTCGTTTTTGATTATAAACCGCTCTATTTTGAAATTTATATATAATCAAAATAAATGTCCTAAATATTGAGCACTTTTCAACAAACAAGAATTTTGTGTTATTTTAATGCAACACTTTTTTTTGTTATTTTAATGCAACAATTTTTTACCTGATGATTGCTAAACGCTAAACCTCGTAAAAAAAAAACAATTATATATATATATATATTTTTATTTCTTGACAACTCTACCACGATTGCTAATATGTTTTGATGATTTAAAAATTTGAAAAATGCGCTGAATGTAGAAATGCTAAGTTAGGAAAAAGTTAAAAAAAAACTAATAAAAAAAAAATTCCTATTGAAAAAAAAAATTATTTACGAAAAAGAAATTATATAAGCACTAAAATAAAAATTAAAATTAAATATTTTAATATATAAATCACTTAAAATAGAAACATTAGAAAAGATTAACGATTAAAGGTTTTTATTGCATTTAAATTTTTTTATTGCATTTAAATTGTTAAAATAATAAAATAGTTGTGGTCAAGTTGTAAAGAAAAAAAACTATTAAAAAATTATTAAAAACTATTATTATATATATAATTTTATTCGTTATAAATTATATAAAATTGTTTTAATATGTTTTTTAGACGCCATTTTTAAAATTTAATAATCAAAAGAAGCCATTCAACTGCTGACATCAATTGTAACAATTTTATATAAACTATAACGATTAAAATTATTGTAATATTTACAAGCTGATGATGGTGGTATCCATAACCCAGCGAAAATTTCTATGATAAAATTATTTGTATTGAGAGAAACTGTATTTCTTGATGTTTTAAAATAATATACAATATACTCTCATACAAGATGTCATCTTTCAAATATATATATATATATATATATATATATATATATATATATATATATATATATACACACACACACACATATATAAATATATGCATGTTTGTATATACTTTTTTACTTTTATTCACCTCCTAATGAAATAATTTTCACCTGATTTTTATTTTTAATTTTGTAATATATAGTTGATGATTGCCATTAGGCATGAAACTTACAGTTCCATAATAAAAGTTTTTTTTTTTCTTTTTTAATTATAAATCGCTCTATTTATGTTCTATCTATGTATATATATATATATATATATATATATATATATATATATATATATATATATATATATATATATATATATATATATATATATATATATATGTATATATATATATATATATATATATATATATATATATATATTTGTATCTTTGTTTCAGCCTATTTTTTGGATTTTTGTATGATTCAATTTTTTTTTCAAGCTAGTGAGTGTTTTTCGGATTTTTTTTTCATATTGTTCAGCTGGTATAGTAATCTCGTTTTTATTTTTTTAAACTTTCTTGCTCCAATAAGCTTCATATATGTGTCCTTTTTCCTAATTCACCCCACTTGTTTAAATCAAATTAATTTGGATTTTTTGTACACTTTCTTATCTTGCTAAATGACAGCTTTTGATAAGTAGGCGATGGGAATCTTTTAATTAAAAATTATTGCATAAAGCAGAAGCTTAATACCATTTGAATATTTTACATGGCTATCTGGCGCAGTGTACAAAGACTAAGAGTTTTGGTTTGGGCAGGTGATCTAATAATTTAATAATAATAATAAATAAGAAAATATTTAAGTTGATCATGCAGAGGTATATATGTATATATATACATATATACATATATACATATATATATATATATATATATATATATATATATATATATATATATATATATATATATATATTTAGTTCTTTTCTTTTTTTTTTTAAAACCTTAAGATTTTAAAGGACTTTGAAGCCTTAAGATTTTTAATATTTTAATTTTATCTTTGTATTTGTCCTCTGCAGTTATTCAATTGAATAGAATGCACATTATTGTTGTTTATATATGTTTATATAAGGGTGTGTTAATATTTTCAGGATATTGCTGGTATTTGTGGTGTCATGATCATTGTTGGAGGTTTTATTGGATCTTTTATTTCTGGAATTTACATTGATAGAACTCGTGCATATATTTTAGTTGCCAAAGTAATGGTATTGCTATTTGGTTTGTCAACTGTAGCTGTGATGGTGGTAATTTAAATTTTTTTATATTATGGTAATCAAAAGCTAATAACATTTTTTTATTTACAAAAGACATACAATAAATACATTTATAACACAATTGGTATATATGTTATGATTTGTTCAAACTAAAATTCACTACAGCAGATTTTAGCTTTTCTCCATGATTTCTTTGTCATACGTTTTTTTTTTATAGTTAACTTAAGTATTCTAAATTTGGATAAACAACTTCATCAAATTGTTCTAAATAGTTAATCAAATTGTTCTAAACAGCTAATATTTTTGTGTTCTCAGAAGAAGAATGTACACTAAAATATATATTTTCCATGAAATTGTAAAAAAAAATTTAAAATTCATCTCAATTTATATTGGCGAACATTGTTTTGAAAAAAAGGATAAATTATGTACAATTTTAATTTATGTAATTTATGTATAATTTTTATTTAAAACATTTTTTTACATCCGTTTTAAAGTGAATTAATTTAATTTAGAAAATTTAAAATTTGATAGAAAAATGCATTTGTATCTTGTATTTGTATCTGAAGTGGATTTTTAAATGATGCCCTTTCTCTTATAAACAGGGTACAAAAACGCATAATAAATATAGTTGGATCTACTCTTGTAGCCAACCTTAAACCATTGGCACATCATTGTATTGTTGCTTTTCTCTTACTTTTCTATAAATACTATAATGAGCGCTATCTACTAAAATTCATTCTCATGTTGCTCATCATTCAATTGAGTCTCATCCTTTTACTGTGACTGTTCCTAAGTGCTCTAAAAAATTTTTTCTAGTTTTTTTTCTTGAACATCAGCTCTTTGGAATTTTCTTCCTTCATCTTGTTTTTCTGATTCATATAATTTGCAATCTTTCATGTCGTCTGTTAATCGTTTTCTTGCTTTATAAACTTCATCTTTCCACTTCCAATAACTTCCAACTTTAATAGTGGTTGCTTGCAGCCTTGTTGGAAGTGAAGATGTTTGAAAAAAAAATTGGTTGTTTTTTAAAGATGAACTAATATTTTATTTAATAGAAAGAAAAAAATTTCATTACAATTCAACGAATTAAGTCAACATTCTAGTAAAATGGATTCTTTCATGCTACCTTGTATTCCGAATGTTGTTACATCATATTAAGGAAGATAGGGTTTATTATTCTTTATCATTCTTGTAATCTGTGTATTTTTTTTTCTATTTTTTTTTTTGCTAATTGATTTTTTTTTATTCTTTATGATTTTAGAGCTTTCTTTTTAATTAACAATTTAAATTTTTTCTTATTTTTACGCTTGACACATTGGTTACATTTCTTTAAAATAATGTACAATAAAAAAATGAAATAGAAGTATTTTTATTATCTTTATAAATAATGCATTGATGTCTGAGTTGTTTTGATTGTGTATGTTAATGTATTGATTTGTTGAGATACTGTGTTGATGTGTGAAATAATGTGTTTGTGGTGTGAGACAATGTGTTGATAAAGTGTTGACAGTGTGAGACAATGATTTGATAGTGTGAAACAATGTTTTGATAGTGTGGGATAATGTGATGATAGTATGAGATATGATAGTATGTTTTCAAAACTTGATTGCAATAACTACAGACCAATATCACTATTATTAAATATCAGCAAAATTCTTTAAAAATTAATGTATTCTTATACCTACCACTTTGTTGATAAGTGTGTCATTGGTTAAATTTATTTTTTTAATTATTAATAAAAATGAGTTATTAAAACTATTATTTTTTATTCTTCAAAAATAAAAAGATTGGTAATGATAATGTAGTATGTAGAATTAACATTAAAAGACTTGTCATCTATATATATATATATATATATATATATATATATATATATATATATATATATATATATATATATATATATATATATATATATATATATATATATATATATATATATATATATATATATATATATATATATATATATATATATATATATATATAATATTTCTTGACAATAACCTATTATGATACTAGTAATTCAATTAAATAAAAAAAGTTTCATGACCCAATAGTATGTTGTCATTAATACGACACTATGTTACCCAACAAGCTCTAATAACAATTGACCTCTTATCTAAGCTATTTTTAAATTGTTTGGGGTCAAAATGAAGTTTTATTATTAAATCGAATAAAGTTTACAAGGTACACCCATAAAAGTTATAACATTTTCTTTTTTACAATCTAATATTCAAAATAGATTTTCTAAATAAAAGATTCTTAAATTTTATGATCTTGTAAAACTTTGTTGAGAAATCAGGTTTGAGAAGAACTAATTTCTAGAGAATCACTAATTTCTAGAGAAATCAGATTTGAATCATCTGACCATGCTTGTATGTGTTTAGCACCACTTCACTCTATTACTTTATTCGTTGTTCTTTATCATACTCTTTCATCTCAAGACTGCACTCATTTAGATCTAATTTCTGATCAAATCGGCCTAGCCCTTTCTCTTTACTCCTCTTTACTTCTCTTTACTCCTCTTTACACCTCTGCCAATATTGTTGATATCGGTGACTTTATTGCTCATCACACTGAATGGCTTGGTACTAACACCACGACCCTGTTGCCACTAAATCCCATAACTTCTGTATTTCTTAATCTTATACTCAGTCAACTTTGTGACTCGTTTTCCTGACAAACCTACTCATATACCTTCACTCCTTGATTTGTGTCTTGTCTCTGACCCTAGCTTGTGTTCAGATTCTCCTTGTTTTTCTTTAGGTGGTTCCAACCATGCTATGATTTCTTTCATGAAATCTTTCATCTTATACATACATCTTTTCATCTCGTACTTCTTCTTTGGACTTATCCTATCATTACACTTATTACTATTACCTTAAAGCTGATTGGGATGCTTCTCGTGATTTTTTTTTTTGTGAAGGTCCGTGGGCAGTTTTTTTTTATCCTGTTCTTAATTTTTTTTTTTAAATAAGTAACAAATTTTGGATTTGTTGCGATTTTTCTATTAATCAAATAATAATCTCGAATAATGATAAGTATAAGATTTTAATTAAATTTCTAGAATGGAAATATTAGAGAGAAGGCCAATACTCTTTATCATTTCCACTGACTTCTAGGGTACCGCAAAGTTCTACTCTTGGTTCTGTTTAGTTTCTTATCTACATTAATGATCTTCCTAACAACCTTACATCTAGAGTGGCTCTGTTCACTGATGGCTCAACTTTATACACCTGTTTTGACAAAAAGTCTAATACTTTCTATTAGAACAGGCAACAGATCTTCAATCTGATCTCACTTCTGTAGCAGACTGGGGCCTTCAGTGGTTTGTATATCTCAACTCAAACAAAACTCAGTTATTTACTGCAAATAACTATTACAATACTGTCGACATTTCTATAATAATGAATGATAACCCTCTCACTGAGTCCTCTTCTTTATGTCTTCTTGGATTATTGTTCATTAAATAAAAATAAATATGATCTCTCATGGAAACCATGGAAACCATACAACTGATTGCAAAGTTAGCATCTACTATGGTTGTTTCTATTTATCATGCTTGCCATTTTCTTACTCCTGATTCCATTCTCTACCTCTACAAATCTCTTATTTGTCACTTTATGAAATACTGTTGTCATACTTGGGTTGATTCTTCTAATGATGCTCTTTCTCTTCTAGACAAGGTCCAAAAATGCATTGTAAACTTAGTTGGACCTAAATCTATATATATATATATATATATATATATATATATATATATATATATATATATATATATATATATATATATATATATATATATATATATATATATATATATAAATTCTCTATGTTTCATTTAATTTTTTTTTCAGGTGTCACTCCATTGACTAGTTTTTAACTTTCTGAGTGACACCTAACCTTATTTATGTAAGTTTATGATTTATAATTCTAATACTTTCCATATTTTATGTTTAAATAAATGGACAACAATAAAAAAATTGAAAAAGATTTTTTTTGATTAATAGATAAGTAATAAATTTTATGTTCATTTAATCACAAATAAATTTTAGGTTTCAGCAATACCGAATCATTTAATTTAATTTTAGGTTTCAGCAATACCGAATCAAACTCCTCTGCTTGATATTTTATGTTCATTTAATTTAATTTTAGGTTTCAGCGATACCGAATCAAACTCCTCTGCTTGTGATTTCTTTTTTCTTTTTTGGATTTTTTGCACTTGGAGTTTTGCCAGTTATGTTGGAGTTAGGAGTTGAGTGTACTTATCCAGTAGATGAAGCTACTTCTTCTGGAATGCAATGGATGATGGGGTATGTATTATTCAAGCAAATAAATTAAGTGTTTTTGCTTTGCACCTTATTGGGTTTATTGTCATTTCTCTAAGTTTTCTGAATTGTTTATCTATAATAATAAAGCACTTCTAAAATTTAATTTGGTAATTTGTTTTTTATTATAGTCAAATAATTGGTGTATTTATGATGATTGGAGGACTGGCATTTGCACCACCATTAAGTTTAAGACAAAAATTGAATTCTGTGTGTGATATTGATCATTCTAGTAAGTTGGATCCGGTGGATTTGACAATACCTGTTCTTGTTATGGTGTCATCGGGAACGATTGTGGTTTCCTTGTTTGTGATACTTTTTAATACCACATACAAAAGACTAAATGCAGAAAATGAAAATGCATAAATAGTTGTATTATATATTTTTATGTCTAATTGTTTATTTCGATATTTTTTTCAATATTTTTTTAAATTTTGTTTGTTAGTTATAAGTTACTGCAATATGTGAATACTTTTTAATAAAAAAAAGTTACAAGTTGCATTTATAATTTTAATTTAAGCAAGCTTTTATATTTTTTCTAATTTATGTATATTCAAATTTTCTAATTTATATATATTCAAATTTTTGAAGTTTTTATCCATAAAATAAAAAATGTCTGAAAATTTTTTTCAGACATTTTTTATTTTTTATCTACAAATTAAAACATTCATCACCATCATAAAGTTTATAAAATTAAAATGATTTTTAAAAATTTAAACAAGAAAATTATCTTTTTTTTATAATACATATATGTTGTATATAATATATGCTATAAGTGCAAATATAAACTGTAATATGTATACTATATAATATTAGACATTATACAGCAATTTTCTTACTGTAGATATATATATATATATATATATATTGAATTTCTCTTTTTTTTATTTTTGTAGTTTATTAATTTTTGCTTCTTCATTTTACATTATTCAATTTGATGTGTGTGTATATATGTATCTATGTGTGTGTGCGTATATATATATGTATATATATATATATATATATATATATATATATATACATACATATATACATACCTACATACATACATACATACATACATACATACATACATACATACATACATACATACATACATACATACATACATACATACATACATACATACATACATACACACACATACATACACATACACACACACATATAATTATATATATGTATATATATATATATGTATATATGTATATATATATATATGTATATATATATATATATATATATATATGTATATATATATATATATATATATATATATATATATATATATATATATATATATATATATGTATATATGTATATATGTATATATATAGATATATATATATATATACATAGATATACATATACATATATCAGGGTGGCCAGCGGTTCTTGAAAACCTGGAAATGTCCAGGAATTTGGTAGATCCTGGAAAAATCCTGGAAAAACACCCCTTTTACCAATAAATCCTGGAAACCTTTTTTCTGAAATACTTCAATATTTCATTTTGTTTTTACCTTATACAGAAATATTATTAATATTGTGTAGATTTCTTCTGAATTAATTAAATATGTATTCTCTGACTTGCAAAAAAAAATTTTTTAACCGTTACTGTCAGTATTATTAACATCTAGTAATTATTAAAAAAGATAACTAATATAATTCCTAATACAAAGAAATGTCATTTTCAATCAGAATGGCTATCCAACAAAAAATATTCTTCTTGGGTTAAATTTTGTGTTTCAAATTCTAAAAAAGCAAGCTAAAGTTGGTGCAGAATGTTTCTAACATGGTAGTATCTGGTTTGGATTCTCATCCAACTAGTAAAAAACATAAATTTAATGCAAAGACACATAATGCACCAAATATATTTTTTACTGGTAGTTTATTAGTTTTTTATTTTAATTTAAGTTTTTTTACTTTTATTTAAATATGTTTTCCTGAATTTTTGAATGCTTGTAGCAAATTAATTGGCTGTGTTATATCAGTAACTTATATAAAAGTTCTCCTAATTTAAAAAAAAACTATAAATCTGGTTACCAAGGTTATAAATACCTTGGTTACCAAGGCAAAAATAAAATGGAGCTTGAATGTAGTAGTGTCACTTTAACAATGTGCTTAAATTTAAATGAAATATTTAAATTCTCTGATTGTTCTCTGACAGGGCATTAGCATCAAAGTTGGCAATTAGTTTACCAAAGATTGAAGTAGTGAAATCAAATTACCAACTAGAAATAGACCATATTGACATAGGAACAGCACTGAAATGCTAAGTTCTTTTCATTGTTAACCAGAAGAGAAATTAGAATTTAAGAAAAAATGCAGACAGATAATCAAAATGTTATTGCAAAATTTACAAGAAAGATGCCCATAAAGTTTTCTTCAAAGAGGAACGCTTCATCTTTGTTTCAAAATGCAATGGTTTAAACCAAGGAAGTATCCACTCTGATTCAAGGGTCATGCTGAGAGGTTAAGTGCATTAAAATAGCTTTCAACTGATGATGCAGATGATGCAAAACAACAATTTGATGAATTTTTTGGTGCAGAATGTGTTCGATTTAGTGTTTTTGAAATGATAATAAATAAATTTGAGTCCTTTAATGAATTAACTGATTCTGTTGATAGATTTCTTGGTGTCTATTTATACACAAAAATCAAAAGTATTCAACATTGTGGAGTCAAGTCTGTGCTATCATTTTTGTTTTAGCTCAAGGCCAATAAGTAATAGAACAAGGATTTAGTGTTAACAAGCAGTTGTTAGTAGAAAATCTACAAGAAAGATCTCTTGTTTCCCAAAGAACAGTTTATAATCACATCAACTCTCATGACATTGTTATTCATCAGAATGAGCTTCCCAGTGATCTTTTAAAAAGCTGAAGGTTAGCATAAAATAGGTACAATTCAGTGTTGAAGAAAAATAAGGATCAGTTAATGGCAAGAAACTTAAATTGATTGATACCTAGTGTATATATATATATATATATATATATATATATATATATATATATATATATATATATATATATATATATATATATATATATATATATATATATGTATATATATATTCAATATAAAATATTGTTAAACTTGTACCATACTATATACAACTATATTACAACATATTTATATATAAAACATATTTTGAAGACAATATATTTTGCTTTTTTCTGGTTGAGAAAAGATCAATATATCCTTGAAAAGCCTCAAATTGTCCTTAAAAAGTCCTGGAAATATCCTGAAATTTTCAATTAGATTTTGGCTGGCCACCCTATATATATATATATATATATATATATATACATATATATATATATATATATATATATATATATATATATATATATATATATATATATATATATATATATTCATATATATATGTATATATCATTATATATATATATATATATATATATATATATATATATATATATATATATATATATATATTTATATATATATATATATGTATATATATATATATATATATATATATATATATATCAACATTTTTATATATTTTTAATTTGTTTAATATGTTCAAAAGTTTAATATTTCTCATAAAAAATACATAGTATATTTTATAAATAGTTTTTTTTTAAATTAATTAGGTGTTTTTTTTTACTTCATTAAAAGCGCTTCGATAATATAAAAGCATTTAAGATCAAACTTATTAAATTGTATATATATATATATGTATATATATATGATTTTCTAAAACTTTTTTTTTTTAACGAAATTTTGTTTATCTATTTAAATGCATTAACTTTAATCATTCTTATATTTAAGTTCGTTAAAGAGACTTTCGTAGTCGTAGAATGTCATCATTTATAAAAACAAAACAATTTTTTATTTTTTAATAAGATTAATTTTAAAAATAAACACTTAAACAATTTACATGTTTTAAATTAAAAAAATATATACAACTGTCAATTATATTTAAAAAACAAAACTTTTTTTCAGTAAATTGTTACTTTATTTAAAATTTTTTGCTTATATAAAAACATTTGTTAAAAAGTTTTGATGTAATTAATTTCACTTTTTTAGAATATTTTTTATTTAGCGCGTTTCTAAAATGTTTTTTGAATTAGTCGCGGTAGACCGTCATAGCAAAATGTAACTTGCATGGTCATATAAAGACGTGAAATCGCATGTCTTCCTATGAAAGCCTATATATATATATATATATATATATATATATATATATATATATATATATATATATATATATATATATATATAAATATAATGATATATACATATATATAATGATATATACATATATATATGAATATATATATATATATATATATATATATATATATATATATGTATATAATGATATATACATATATATATATATATATATATATATATATATATATATATATATATGTATATAATGATATATACATATATATATATATATATATATATATATATATATATATATATATATATATATATTATATATATATATATATGTATATATATATATATATATATATATATATATATATATATATATATATATATATATATATATATATATATGTATATATCATTATATACATATACATATATATATATATATATATATATATATATATATATTCATATATATATGTATATATCATTATATATATGTATATATCATTATATTTATATATATATATATATATATATATATATATATATATATATATATATATATATATATATATATATATATATATAGGCTTTCATAGGAAGACATGCGATTTCACGTCTTTATATGACCATGCAAGTTACATTTTGCTATGACGGTCTACCGCGACTAATTCAAAAAACATTTTAGAAACGCGCTAAATAAAAAATATTCTAAAAAAGTGAAATTAATTACATCAAAACTTTTTAACAAATGTTTTTATATAAGCAAAAAATTTTAAATAAAGTAACAATTTACTGAAAAAAAGTTTTGTTTTTTAAATATAATTGACAGTTGTATATATTTTTTTAATTTAAAACATGTAAATTGTTTAAGTGTTTATTTTTAAAATTAATCTTATTAAAAAATAAAAAATTGTTTTGTTTTTATAAACGATGACATTCTACGACTACGAAAGTCTCTTTAACGAACTTAAATATAAGAATGATTAAAGTTAATGCATTTAAATAGATAAACAAAATTTCGTTAAAAAAAAAAAGTTTTAGAAAATCATATATATATACATATATATATATATATACAATTTAATAAGTTTGATCTTAAATGCTTTTATATTATCGAAGCGCTTTTAATGAAGTAAAAAAAAACACCTAATTAATTTAAAAAAAAACTATTTATAAAATGTTTTTTTATTTTATTTATATAACTATGTATTTTTTATGAGAAATATTAAACTTTTGAACATATTAAACAAATTAAAAATATATAAAAATGTTGAAACAAAGATTGAAAAGAATTTTTAATGCGTAAATTAGATAGATTAAGCATTTTAGTTTGATGAGTTTTGTTTTAGTTGCGTTATATATATATTTTTTTTTCTTTTTTTGTTTTTGTGTTTTTGCTTTAACTAAGTTTTTTTTTCTCTTTCGTTAATATTTATTCTTTTTTTAAATTATTTTTTCAGATAAGTTTAGGTAAGTTTTTGTAGCGCGTTTTTAAATTTTAAAAATATGCCGTGGTCAAATCATTTTTTTTTGCGTGGTCTAAAGACATTAAATCGCACGTCTTCCTGTGAAAGCCTGTATATATATATATATATATATATATATATATATATATATATATATATATATATATATATATATATATATATATATATATATATATATATATATATATATATATATATATATTCATATATACACAGCCCTCGGAATTAGGAAAAATAAGGTTGGCTATAATTGGTCGGCAGAAAAAATGTAAAACAAAGGTTTGACCAAATATTACAATATTAAAACTGAACTATTTATTGGGCAATGCAGAATGGTAAAATAATAACCTTTTTTATACAGTCATTCTGGGTAACATTGACTTTGCAAATAACATTGAATTAAACCTGTAAATGTTTTTTGCTTGTTCTTCAACCAATGAGAATATGATAAATTACTTTTTAAACAGAAGTTTTACCATAGTTAAATAAATTTTTTTATTACATTGTGAATATTATGTATTATATTGTTGATATCAGGTAATATATATAAGAATTTTATTGAATTATTTGTTGAATTTTAACATAAACTTAAAATAGTATGAACTTACATGTTTTTCACTTCAAAAAGGATATACAGTCATGTGAAAATTTATTATCTCCACCCACAATTTTTTACATTCTCAAGTTTCAAAGTCTATTATTTTAATATTTTTTTTGTGATTCATGTACTCAAAAGTAATTTTTATATAAGAAATGGGTATTTTTTTTGACGAATAAAAAACATTTAACAAATTGTTAATAAATTTTATTCAAATATTACTACAAATATATTCAAGATCAATATTTGGTGATTTTGCCTTACCTTTTATAATTGCAAGAACCCTTTTTGGCATACTTTTGTTGCAATATTGCGGTAACAATCTTTGTTCCAGGACTTTTTTATATTGTAACTGATTCATTATTCTCTCTACAATATAGAGCCTTCCCATTCCCCTTCCACATATCACTGACCAGATCATCACAGAGGTGAGGTGTTTAACAGTTTGAATGATGCAGTCCAATAAGTATTTTTCCCCTTTTTTTCTTTTTTCATATTGAGCCTTCTTTGTTAAAACTTGGAAAGTACTTTGCTGCTAAAGCATACCTTAAAGTATTATACAAGGATTGTTAGTGAATATTTAAAGTTTGGTGTAAGAAAATGGATATTTTAAATACATCTAAATTAATTTTATCAATTTCCAATCATCTTCTGTTAAATTCCAATACTTTTTTACACACTTCATCCTTTTTTGCATTGTTTTTGGTGTCAGTTTAGGTTTCTTAACTGGACCTCATGAAATGTAACCAAAATCGTGTAGGCGATGTTAAAATTTTAACTCCAAAATGGTCTCTTTGACATTTTGACTCCAGAATGATCCAGCTTATTAGTTATTTCATTGTTTGTAGCCTGTCTATTTTCTAGAACAACCTTTGTAAGTATTCTTTTCCTGCACGGTATTAGGATTCTCTTCTTTCCAAATTTACCAACCTTCTTTGGCATCATGTTCTCCATACTAGCTATTTTTTAAATATATTTTGTACAGAAACCCGTGAAATACTACATTTTTTGGCAATTTCTTGTTGAGAAAGATTAGTATTTATTAAAAGTGCCCTGATTTCAGCAATTTTTTGTGGTAACAGGTCCTTTTTTTTCCCCATAACTAAATTAAGATATCACAATTCAGTACTATAGTTGAGAATTTGCTTTGGTACTCATAACCTTAAAAATACAATTACAAAATACAATTTTTTTTGTGAAATAAAGAAAAATATTTTTACTGATTTAAATAAACATTTTGAAGATAACCTAATGAACGAGTTTAAAACTCTGGTTTGGCTGTCAAAAATAACAGTGTTAAAAAAAAGCACTGATTTTATGAGTTAAAACTTTATTTTAAACTAAAGATTAACTTTCAATAATAAATTTGTACTCTTCATATGAAAAAAACGAGATTAAACTTAGGGCCCTGCGAAGCTTTGAAATTTCGAATCGAATTGTATCAAAAATATGATTTGAGAACTGATTTGAAAATTTTGAGAAATCAAATTGTTACTTATTTTGTTTTTGTTGTGGGTATTTTAGATATTCTGCGCTTTGGCGCTATCAAAATAACGTTACTTATCTTTAAATACCTTTTTAATCAGTCATTAAAAAGATTAACCAGTGTTTGCTTTCACATATGAAATCTTCCGCCCCCATACCAATTTTTGTCTACAAATATATATATATATATATATATATATATATATATATATATATATATATTATATATATATATATCTGTGTGTGTGTATGTATGTATATATATATATATTTATATATATGTCTTATTATATGTATTCATAAGTATATATATCAATTTATATTTTTTTTATATACACACACACACATATATATATATATATATATATATATATATATATATATATATATATATATATATATATATATATATATGTATATATATATACACACACACACATATATTTTAAAAACATTCAGAATGTTTTTAAAAACGGTCTAGTCTTTTAATTTTTTTTTGTTTTTTTGTTTTTTTCCGTTTTCTAAATTTAATTACTTTCCGCTATTAAATTAATGCGTTTTGACATAATCTAACTTTAATTTTATCAGCTTTAATACCACAAACAAGCGAAAGGCTATTTTTTACCACACATTGCATATCTAAGCCCTTTACTATAGGTATATATATATATATATATATATATATATATATATATATATATATATATATATATATATATATATATATGTATATATATATATATATATATATATATATATATATATATATATATATATATATATATATATATATATATATATATATATATATATATATATATATATATATATATATATATATATATATATATATATATATATATAGAGAGAGAGAGAGAGAGAGAGAGAGAGAGAGAGAGAGAATAATATGTAGATATAGTGAAAAATATTCTAAAATTTAAAATGCTTTAATATTTTTTATTTCTTATAATTATGATATATTATTATTTTTAAGGTTATTACTTTCTTTCAAGGTTATTAATATAAATTGGTCTAAAAACAAGATATCCAATCTATCATCTTGGTTTTGATTGTTTAAATTATTTTAAAATGGCTGGAATATATCATCCTAGTCGTGGGGGAGTTAGAGGGGGTCAAGATCAGTTTAAATGGGAAGACGTTAAAAATGATAAAGATAAAGAATACTATATAGGTTTTTTTTTCTTTCTGTTTTAAGTTTTTTTTATATTTTTTATTTTAGTTGTTTTGGTTCTTTTTTTTCTTTTTTTTTTTTAAATATGTATTTTATATGTTTTTTAAATTTTTTTTTTTTAATAAATATTTGTTACAAATGTTTGAATGAAAATTATGTTTGATATTAGCGCTAATTTACTAATGAAAAAAATTAAATAAAATTTAAAGTTTATTTCTACTTTGTTTTTATTTTATTGTAAGGATTGATTTTTAAGCTTGAAGCAAAGATCATGAAAACATAATTTAATTCTGATAAAGAATATATGATTTCATTTAAAACTAATTTAATAGAAATATATAATTTTATTCTGATTAAAAAAAATAATAATTTAGTTTTTGAAAATAAAATCGCAGCGATTATTTTTAATAAATGATATATACAGCGATATAATTTTAGTAATAAAATAATAAACTAATAAACTTTTAATAAGTAAATTTGTTACTCTCTGATTTTTTTAAATTAGAAAGTCATTTGTAGTCGCAAAGCCGCAATTAGAAATTTAAGAAATTATCATTTTAAAAATACAAAAATTTAACATATTTTTATTCATTTATGCAAAAATTGAGAAAAGAAAGAAATTTGTTAATATCTAATATAATTAAAAATGCAGTATTAAATTTAATTATTTAATATTAAAAAAAGATAAATAATCATTCCCTTATAGTAATAACATAATAATATAATAAATAAAATGAGTTAAAATGCGGTAGTGGTGTAGTGGTAGAGCGCTCGCTTCATAAATGAGTGGTTCCGAGTTCGATCCCCACCACGTCCCTGGTAGTACCGCGCTCAACTTGTTTCTCTGCGCAGCGGCCTTGTTCGTCAAGGTTCGTGTTTCGGAGTTATAGAGTTGAGAGAGGGTTATAGCCACAAAAATAAGTAGCCTCCTCGTCTGTAGTGGCCTTCTCGGCCTTGAGGAAGTGAAGTATAATAAAAAATAAAAAAATAAAAAAAATAATAATATTTAACTCGTTTTGCGGTAATTAATATTATTGCTGTAATTTAAAAATTTTATGTCTTTAAAAAATAAAAAAATAAAGAGAATTTTATGACGTCAAATATATGTATATGTATATCGTGGTCTACTATAGTGGCAAGTAAACATATGACTTAAAAAAAAACTGTAGGCGAGTTTTAATTTGATAAATTTCAAATTATTGGATCAATTACATCATTTAGATGTAGATAACCAATATCTTGAAGTAGAGCATTAGCTACAGCGACAGCTGCTTCATCTGATATTCCATAACTAATTACCTCTAAAGCAAATTTGGGATAGTGGGTAGTAAATTAAGGTTTAATTTACAATTTCATACTCTGCTTTTTAAATTGTTTAAATTTTTTTAAGGCCGGATGTCATAATAAACAGGGTGTCAACTCTAAAAAACTTAAAAAATTGTATAAGACTATTTTTAAAAAACACAATTGAATAACTGGAAAATGTATTTTTCATAATCATTGAATCAATGATGTACAAAAAATATTTTTTTTATTTTCTTTAACATGCTTTTCACAACAGTCCTTTCTAGTTCTTTAAGTTTATCCAGCAGAGTGAACACCCCGATATATCTAATAAAAATGGCGACTTATAAGAAATCTTTTAAGTTGGAATTTTAATGTTCATTTTTAAAATAAGATAGCTTCTACTCAACTTTAAAAGTTACTTGCCAAAATTTCTTTTTTTATATAAGGTAATTGCTCCAGCTTGAAGTGATAAATTACCAGAAATTGCTGGTGTCTAATGTGTATATGAAGTCCTTTTGTTGAACCACCACTTAGTTTAAAAATCTTCTTGCAGTTTGACAATTTACACATTGCTGTTTGCCCTTTCTCTTCTCGTAGAAAACATTTCCAAACAGCTGAGTTACTTTTAATTGTAAAATCCACATACACCATGCTAATTTAAGTTTTAATTTTAAGAGTAAACCTTGTAAGAGACACAAGTTTTTTTTTTTCAGTTTAAAAAAGTTTATTTTGCAGAATTACAGAACAGAATAACTGAAAATAGAATTACTTTTGGCAATATTATACTAAATAAATATTATTATATTGATGCACATAAACTGTTGTTATTTTTATATATTTTTTTAATTTCCCCTTTCTTTTGCTCAATCGTATAGGGAATCCCGGGATTGATATTAGACAATCCCTGGATTTCGGGATTATAAAAAGGGCTAAGATCCCGGGATTGCAAACCCTTATCTGAATTCTTTACCAATCGATCACAAGAAAAGTATTTTTATGGAACAGATGTTAAGTATGAGCTCCTTAATATATATTAGTGAAAAAAGTATTTTCCTAATATGGTTGCTAGGGCATTTGAGTACTTTTCATTGTCAAGAACTTTTTACTCTCGGTTACGTGATGACTACAAACTACCAAGTATATCTTTGATGACAAAGTTGACATCTAAAGTTAGAAATAATGGAGATGATAATTTTTTAAAGTTTTATTTTGACAAATGTTCTATTTCTCAAAGACAGGTTGTTCTACTAATTGATGAAATTTATGTTAACCCACAGTTAACTTATCAAGGAGGTATCACTTTTGGTAATCTTCTATATGACTTTGTTCATTTAACAAAATCTATTCACATCAATTGACTTACAGAAAAATACCATGAACTATGTTTTACTTACTAAAGGTGTTTCAAGAACTGCAAAATGGTCAGATTTTAATAAACGGTTTGAAAAAGATGCTATTTTAAAATTGTCTAAACTTAATGAAATTGCAATTTTTTTTAAACCAATTGAACATCAAAATGTGTCATCTTGTTTAAGAATATTTTGTGATAAGACTGTAGCTGCTTTAAAAACTCATCCATTCATAAAAAATGTTGATGACACCATTTTTTTTCTCTCTTTATCAAATTTTTTAAAATTGTTAATGAACTTAATGAAGATATTTGTACTAGAGATAAATTTTGTGCTGTTTTTACATCAAACAATGATAAATTGAACTTTCTTTTATATTTGGCTGATATGGTCAAAAAAAGAGCCCCTGAAAAACAGGGTCATAGACTAAAAAGTTTAACCAAAGATACTTCTTGTGCTTTTTCTTATACATGTTGTGGGATGGTTGAATTAGTTAAATTATTTACTAACATAAGTATGTTTGTCTTGGACATTTTACTAGTGACCCTATTGAGAAAGCATTTGGAAAACTTTGGCAAGGATCAGGTGGTACCTATGTTATAAATGTTCAGCAAATATTACAAAAAGTTGACATTAAAAAAACAAAACTTTGTCTGAATATTAGTATTACTGCAAATGATTTAGAAGTATGATCAAGCCATTTGTATGACAAATGCAATTATGTATTGCAAGATGATATTTTGTTCAATGTGTTTCATAATTTTCCAGTTATTGAAAGCAATTTGTCTAAAGAAATTAAAATGTCTTTTGTTTAGATCACTGGCTATGTCAATAGAGAAGATCCTCCAGTTGAAGATACATCATTTTGTTTTGATTATGTCAGAGAGATTAATTGTGGCGGTTTAAGTTAACCTGGAGATAACATTTGACATTAAATATTTATTCATACATTTTATTTCATCATCTGGACACTTTTGTCTGTTGTACTAGCTTATCTATTTTTAATGGTATCTGACTTTTATAGATTTACCAATGTTACAAAAAAAACAAATAATTACAATTATTGCCATCTTAATACCCTGCAATCTTCAAAGGAACCCAAAATGAAAATTTTGAAGGTATTTTGAATGTGGAATATATTTTTATTATATTATATATAATTATATTGCATATATACTAACTAGTTGTAGTTTTATTATGAAAAGTTATTTATCATATAGATTTCAGAGTATTTTGCACAATTAAAAGTTTATTTGTTACAAAAATTATTATTTATGACTTATATATAACACATTATTTATTAGAAACTAAAAAAAACCTGTATGCTTCCATAAAAAAAACTTGCCTACAGTTTTTTTAAAAACAGCATGTTTACTTGGCATATAATAGGCATCGATAATACCTTCAATATCTCAAATATTATTGTTATTCCCTCACAGCATTTTATCTAATGCTTAATAGAGTTTTTCTGTTATAAAGTTAATAAGTCAGTTGTAGAGCGAGAGAATCAAAATTCGTATTGATTGTCAGAGAGTTTAGACTCACGATGAGATATTAGAAGTTTGATAGTTGAAGGCTTTTCTAATAATAACAAGAAGACTGAGAAAAAATTACATAATATTCCAAAATACTATAGTCATGTTTCAAAGTATTATAGATATTGATGCAACTGTAAATAGTGCATGACACCCTTAAGCAAACAAGTTATATAGTTGCTTCAGTTATGCTAATCAACTCAAGTTGTAACAAAGAACTCCTTATGTGGCCTCAATAATGTACTAACTGGGAAACTCTTCATGCACAATATGGCACTCTTCATGCTTTGATATTTTATGGAATCAGCCTGTTTGAGAACTACCACAGAGTTCATAAGCCTTACTACAAGTGGCCTCAGAATCAATTAAGTCTTAGCCTAGAACGCTTTCTACAAGGCAGTAGTTTTTGAGCAACTGTTTAAGATGAGTATTCTAATCAAGTTACCATCTCTTTACTTAATTAAGCCTTTACACAACTAAGAGCATAAAGTCAGTGGGTGTTTTAAGGGTGAGTTAACTTATCTTAGCTTTTGCCTAGAAAAACAAGTTCTAAGGTTTGTACTAAAAATTGTAAGGCTGTACTAGATTACATGTTACCAGGGTGATTATGATGATCCTGATTCTGACCTAATTATTGTTTTTATTAATTTTTTTAATTATCAATTAATGAATTTGGTTTGTTGCTAATATTATATTCTTTTTATTTAGTATTATTAATTGCAAACCATTTGTGTTAGAAAATTTGCTGACTCTAATTTGAAGTATTGTTTGAAGCCATTTTTTAATGAGAATACTAAATATTGAAGTAAAATTATACAATACTCTGTTATTTAATATAAGAGGAAAAATATTTTATCTCTATTTTATGTTTAAAGTTAAAAAATATATTTACTTTTTTTAATTAAACATGTACCCTGAGAAAAATTAGTAGCTGAACCAACTTTTTTGTCGAGCTAAGTTTAACTTTTAATTGTTACCAGAATCAATTAAATTTGGCAAACTGAAAAATTCAAAAAAAAATTTAACATCAATTGATGATAATGTTTTATTATGCTTGTGTGATGCAAGTTTATTGGCCCATAACCACAAGCAAATATAAGAAATAATATTTCTAGTTATGCATCTTTAAAAAAATTTAAGTTCACAACAGCAAATTTTATGTATACCAAACTAAAATATTTCCAATTTTTGTGGGTTTTTTTTACTTGCTTTAGCAAGCTACAAAGTCTTTATGTTTAATATATATTGGTTGTTTTATATTTATTATTTTTTGTCAGTTTGTTTGTTTTTTAACTAACTGTAAATTAAATATACTTGTTACCAACTGTAGCAAGTATTTAATTTTTTTTTTTTTTAATTACTTTGTTAAGGTCATTCTCTTATGGTGCCAACTGGTCAGTGGACTAAAGGTAAAGACATATTTTGGTGAGACCATTTTTATTTTATTTTAATTACTTAAAGTTTATTATTTTAATTTTTTTTTTAAGTTAAAAAAAATTATTGTTAAAATGTTTATAAATTATGTTAAAATGTTTATAAATAAGGTCAAAATGTTTATAAATTATGTCAAAATTATTATAGTTATATTAAACCTTTAATAGATTTTGTCAAAATGACTACAAATTGTCATTAGTGACATTTTATTTGAAATAAAATAAAAAAATAAAGATTTTTTTTTTTCGTAAGGTGGAAACAACAAAAAAAAGATAAATTAAAATAAAATAAAAAACTGAACAGCAAGTGAAAAATAGGTTGCATATTCAAATTAAAAATGAGAAATTCTATACAAAAAACGTATTGTTAGCTTGTAAACAGAAAAAAAAATTTTTGGCCTGTATATTCAATACATTTAAGTGTTATATAAATATTTTTTTTTTAATTGAATATATATTTTCTAATAAAAAGACAATTTTTGGTTGCTTAACTTAAAGTGGTAAATTAAAATTTATGAGATATTAATATCCTTTCATATTGCATTAGTTTTGAAAAAAATTGAAAAAAAATAATGTAGGAGATTCCGTAGAAGATCAGCACTCTGATTACAATTTTATTAAAAAAGAATTTATTAAAGAAAATGAATTTGTCAACTCATCAGATACTGCCTTTAATTAAATTATTAGCAAGGTGGTTTTACAAAAATGTTTAAAAAATCAACTTTTAAAAGATTTTATTTTGCAACAAAATTAAACTCAAAAAATGGGGGAAAAAGTTAAAATTTGATCAAAAAAACTTTTGATCTAATTTTAAACTATGTGTAAAACATTTTTATTTTTGAATTATGTTTGAATTTTGATTTCCTAAAAGCAATGATTTAACAATTTATAATTTTATCAGAATGTATTAACAAATTCTTAGGAGTTGTTCATAAATTACATCACGCTCTGGGGGAGGGAGGGATTAGTTATTTTGTGACGACTCATATGGGACTTGTCACTAAAGTGTTATAATATTGTGACATGCTCTGAAGAAAAAGAATGGAAGAGAGAAAAGATCCAGTTTTAATGACTCTGATAATTTATCTACAGAGTGGTATCAAGTTCTAACTATCACTTTAGATATTTCTAAACAAATGCAAAAGTTTCATTTGTTGTTTATAATTATGGAACAAATATACCCCCAATAGTGTATAAAAAAGCATATCAATATTAATTATGATTCTACCTCATCATTACCTGATGCAAATGGTTTAATAGAAAAAAATTTGCAAATTGGATTGCTAAAAGAACTTCAAAATGCAAAATTTCCATTACAGATCCTCAAAGCAGCTGTATATTTAATAAAAGAGTTAATAAAAAAATAAAAGTATTTTTTGACAGTTGAACACTGGTCATTCTATTCAACATTTAATTTTATTAAAAAAAAAAAATGAAAAATAGAGATAAAATGCTTTTTTATTAAATTATTATAATTTTTCATTTTTTCTAAATTTAACTTTACTTTCAATTTTTAGACATAAATTTAAGTTTTCTTAAAGGTATACTAGAGACAAAGACGGGAAGTCTGAAGCTGAAAGAACAAGAGCTGAGGTTTGTCAATGTTTCTAATGTTATCAATATATATATATATATATATATATATATATATATATATATATATATATATATATATATATATATATATATATATATATATATATGTATATGTATATATATATATATATATATATATATATATATATATATATATATATATATGTATATATATATATATAGACACACACACAAATATATACATATTTATATATATATCGTTTTGACAGCATCATATTTAGGCACCACCCAAATTAAAATTTGAGGACCTTTTTTTTTTTTTTTTACATTATTTATGGTGAATATTGTTTTTTTTTTGCAAAAAAATACAGAATCCGCTAAATTTTTCCAGGACAGTGGGGGGTTCCCCTGATATATATATATATATATATATATATATATATATATATATATATATATATATATATATATATATATATATATATATATATATATATATATATATATATATATAAATTTAATATGGCGTCACACGGAAATAGCCTGCTACTATGGGGTTCAATACATATATTCTATCTAATGCAAAAACACTAGGTTTAAATTTTTTTTGAATAAAAAATATTTTAAGGGGTATCTCAAGACCCTCTAATATTTAATGGGTCCCTAATATTTTCGAAAAAAAAGTTTTTCAAAAATATGTCAACCTGGTACTCAAATGAAGCGAAGTTATATAAAAAATTTAAAAATAATATTCATTTCGAAACAAAATTGTTATTTTTGGTTTTATTACATAAAATATTGTGTTTTTTAAGAAAAAATAAAAAAATGCATTTCTAATGTTTTTTTATGATAATTTTGATAAGTTAAAAATTTTTTGAAATGAATATTATTTTTGAAATATTTATATAATTTTGCTTCATTTGAGTACCAGGTTGACATATTTTTAAAAAACTTTTTTTTCGAAAATATTAGGGACCCATTAAATATTCGAGGGTCTTGAGGGACCCCTTAAAATATTTTTTATTCAAAAAAAATTTAAACCTAGTGTTTTTGCATTAGATAGAACACATTTAGGGTGTGAGAGCAGATTATTTTCAAAAACCTTTTTTTTTTGGGACACCCTATTCTTCATTTTTTCTTTTTATTCTGAAAAAGCTGTAAGCTATATAGATAACCAAAACTAGTAAGCATATTTTTATCTAAACACACTTTATTATATTTGCTGCCCCAGGCAAGTTCTCAGTCGATGTAGCAGCAATCCTTTGCGATAACAGGCTTTTTATGGCTATATAAATAGACAAGAGTCTATTTATGAGCTGAAGCCCCAGGCAGCAGGATGTTTCAGTGTGACATCACAGTGTTTATCTAAACACTCATTATTTTTCAAAATATTGTTTAGAAGTAAATATTTTTTTAGGAAATACGAAAAGTGAAAGAATTAGAAGCCAGAGCAATGGCAGCTGTTCTGTAAGTTTTAATTTTATGATTTGTAATGGCAGATGTTATGATGATTTATACTTTTTTGCTTGCTCATTTTTCATTGCTATATTTTAGTGGGAAAAAAACATTTACAGTCGAGAATCCACTTTCAAAAGAGGTATTATTACTTTTCAACTTTACTTTTAAATTTTGTTCAATTTTTTTGAACTTCAACTGCTCATTTAAGAGAATTTTATTAATTAACAATTTTATGAGATTTTTTATTTTGCAATGTTTTATTTAAATAAGATTAATTATTATTTACAAACCCATTTGCTCAAGGCTATTTTTATTTTTATTTTGTTTCTGAGAATTGTAAAGTTTTGACTCCATTTATTATTTTTCTTAATCCATTAGGAGATTAAAGAAGTGTTGACTCGTGGAAAAACTGAAACTAATGAAGCTTCAAAGATAGCTGGAATGGGTTATAAAAAGTGAGTAAATTGTTTATAAATTTTTGTTTATGATAAATTGTGTATGATAAATAATCAATAATATAGTTTACTATATAATAATAATAATAATATAGTTTACAATGTTTTTTTTACAAAAAAAGATGTTTTTTTAGAGTAAAGTAATCTATTATATCTTTATAGTGAAATAATAAATAATCTAATAAATAGTCTTATAATTAAAAAAAATGTTAAGAGTTGTTAAGAATGAAATTAGAATCAATAATCTATGGTTTACTACATAATGCTTCCACAAATTACAATTTTGTGTTTCGTTTACAAAAAAAACACTATATTTCAAAAAAATAAGATGTGTCTGAGTTATGTGCTATTGAAGTTTTTATGTGTTACTGAGTTTTTTATGTTATTGAAGTTTTTATGTGTTACTGAGTTTTTTATGTTATTGAAGTTTTTATGTGTTACTGAGTTTTTTATGTTATTGAAGTTTTTATGTGTTACTGAGTTTTTTATGTTATCAAGATTTTTATGCCTAATTTTTATACTAATTGAAATATGAACAAGGTAAAGAATTTTAAGTTGTTTAAGTTTGTTTTGTTTTCAAAACATTGTAGTTACAAAAAGCTTTAAAAACAGGTTTTATACTATATATTATAAGTAAGTTAAAAACAAAATTACTTTTAAGTAATTAACAAATTAACTTTTAGTAAGTGAAACAAATGTATTTTTTATTGATTATTAACTATTAATTTGCTTTTTAACTGTATTTTGCTACAGAAGTATACCCAGGTGGAAATTGGGTAGTTATTTTTTTTATTAGTATAGTTTATATCTATCTAATTCACAATTACATTTCATAATAGTTCATAATTGCATTCACGGAAAAAACAGTTATAAAGTTAATTTCTATAGTTTCTTGATTTCAGATCGATACATAAAGAATCAGGATCAAGATATGGAACTGAATTTGAGGTAAGTTAAATAACTAATATACTAAGTTTTGTGTTTTTAAAAAAAAAAAAAAAATTATATATAGTAATAATTTTTTTTTTGTATTTTATTAACAAAAGTTATATAGGTATTTTAAAAATAAACAAGTCTTTCCTGGCTGAACAGCTCCAGCAACAATTTGACATTTAAAAAAATTTTTTGTTTGTTTAAAATATTAGTTTCTATTGTTAGACATTGATATGCCGGGAAGCATTTATTGAAACCCTACACAGGCTCAGAATAGGCAGAAAAATGAGCAATCTGATTTGCTGATTTTGAAAGAGAGGCATGTGTGCATGTTTTGAAAGAGAGGCATATGTGCCTAATAAAATATAATTAAAATCAAAATAAGTAGAATTTCAAAGTTAAGATCAAAGTAATGATAAACTAAGTTTATCAATACAAGTCTTGTGCTTATTATCAACACAGGAAATTCATTTTATTTTATCAATATCTATTTGTACACACTAAAATAAAAGGTAGAAATTTCTACTTTAGGGTAGGATATGTGATATACCTTTAGTAGGTATAATTTTCTACCTTTTGAGGTAGAAAATTATATTAAAAACAATGGTTTGTCATACAATTTTCTACCTCAAAGGTATAATTTTCTACTTTAAAAGGTAGAAAACTACACCTTACTAAGGGTATATCACATATCCTACTTTAAATAAAAATTTCTACCTTTTTTAACAAGTGTGTACAAGAGGTTTTTCGCTCGCAAAAATCTAAAAATTTCAATAAACTTTATCTTTGTGATGAACACTTTGTCTGTTGTTAATTTAAAGAAATGGAAAAAATTGTATGTGTTAAAGTAAATTTAAAAAGATCTGTAAATGTGTTTCTCATCAATTATAAAGTCCTTGGTTTTGAAGTATACTCATTACAAAGTTTATATGCAGTTGTACCAGAATATTGGCGAATTACTTTATGCATGCAAAGTTTATATGCCGTTGCATTAGACTATTGGTGAAGTACCTTATGCATACAAAGTTTATATGCAGTTTTACCAGATTACTGGTGAAGAAATTTATTTATACTTGTTACCAGACTACTGGTGAAGAAATTTATTTATACTTGTTACCAGACTACTGGTGAAGAAATTTATTTATACTTGTTACCAGACTACTGGTGAAGAAATTTATTTATACTTGTTACCAGACTACTGGTGAAGAAATTTATTTATACTTGTTGATTATAAAGAGTTAAACAATGAAAGTTTTTTCAAAAAGAAAATTCGTTTATATATAAAATTTGAATATATGAACTCTGATGAGTTCATATATTCACATGAAACAGGGAAGTTTATATGTTTGTCTACTAAACAGTAATTTTTTGTACAGTTACATATATACACTGACATTACAAACAAAAAAAAGTATTGAAATCAAAAAAGTTAACCAAATAAAGGTGGATTATGACATCAAAAAAAATGCAAATGATTGTGGAACTTTTTATGTTTTGTAACAATTGAAACAAAAATCGATTTAAAAAAACCAAATTAAATGGTAAAAATTAAATGAATTAGTTAAAAAAGAGTAATAAAGAAAAGACAATGAAACTATTTAAAAAAAGAGTCAGTTTTCATACAATGTGTGTTTAACCTAAAATAGGTTTAGTTAGCCTTGATGGATCAGTTAATAGTGAAAGGTTATATTTATTGAAGTAAAGTTATATAAGAGTTATCTACAAAAATTCAAACAAAAACAACTTGATATCAAAAAATCATTATGTATTAAACTTTTGTTTAATACATAATGATTTTTTTTTCATAAAAGAAAAAATTTGTTCCAGAGCTAACAAATTTTTTCTTTTTGTTCTTTCAAAGTATTTAATGCAAAATAATGTTAGACGATGACATAATAAGTATAAATTTATCAAATTTTTTTTATTTAATATTTTTTACTATCAATTGCTGATAGAGGTTAGAGGTTATTTTTAATTTTTTTCCAATTATAAAATACAGTAACCAGTGTTTTGTTCAATTTAACAGTTATATTTAACAAACATGTATTTTGTATGTATAAACTTTTCTAGTAGTACATTCAACGTTAATTTGCATGTGTGCAATTTTCTTTTTTCTACCTCTTTACCTTTAGTTTTCCATTAAGGTGTGGTACATTAAGGTGTGCTACATTAAGGTGTGCTATATTAAGGTGTGCTACATTAAGGTGTGCTACATTAAGGTGTGCTACATTAAGAGTTATTTCATTAAGTAATTAATTTACTGTATTATAACAAATCTGTGGCAAACAAAAAATTTAACAAATTAAAAGTGAATTATGGCGTTTATTGTAATAAGAAAAACTTCATTAAAGCAAGATTTTACATTTGAAAAGGTAAACGATATTATCTCAAAATAATACACGACACATTTCTATTGACACATTTCACATGACACATTTCTATTGACACATTTCACACGACACATTTCTATTTTTAAATTATTATCCAACAGATATCCACAGAAATTCAAAAAAACTTTATTGGTTATACCAAAAATTACTTTATGAAAGTGTTCATAAAATTTAGAAATACTGAATAAATTTTATTTTAATTTTTTATTTTTTTTATTCTTCTAAAACAAATGGATTTTTTTTTCTTTAGGAGTATTTAATGTAAATAAATTAATAGCATAATAAATATAAAATTTATCAAAGTTTGTCGCTTCATTTAATATTTTTAATTTAATATTAATTATCATCAGTTGTTATCAGAGGGTAAACATTTTTACTAATTATAAAAAACAATAACCAGTTTTTTGTTCAGGTTAACACCTATATACCAACAAACATGTGTTTTATATGTATTGACTTTTTAAATTGAAATAAACAACAACACGAGTTTTTATGTTTGCAATTTTTCTTGTTTTTACTCTTTACCCCTAGTTCTCCAAAAAGGTATGGTACCTAGTTCTCCAAAAAGGTATGGTACCTAGTTCTCCAAAACATATGGTACCTAGTTCTCCAAAAAGATATGGTACCTAGTTCTCCAAAAAGGTATGGCACCTTAAGAGTTATTCCTTTTAAAATTAATTTACTATATCAAAACAAATTTGTGGACATCAGTTTATAGAATTTTTCTTATACTTTATTATGCTACTATGTTTTGTAATCTTTTATTATAATACAATACCGGGGGCAATCCAAATCAGCTCTTGCTTGCAATTGCTTTTAAATCGAAAATGATGCAAATTACCTGGGTTAGCTATAACAACCAATAAACAATTTTCTCAACTTTAAAAGTAATGTAGTTATTTTATATAAGGGAATAATTAGGTTAATGTTTTGAAAAGCAATTAAGTAATTTTTTAAAATTTTTTTCTAGCTAAATGATAAGATTAATGGGAACTTAGTAAAAAAAACCAAGTTGAAAAGTATTCTATTGATATTACTAGGTAAAATATAAAACTGTTTTGAAAAATCTATCGTAAAAATAAATCGAATCACAGCATAGTCAAGTTTCACCATCTGTTATATAATTTGTTACAATTGTTTTTTTATGTTTTGCAGTTACAAAAACTGTTAGGAAAACAATCTACTTTTTTAAATCTTTATTTTTAAGATAATATTTTGAAAATCGATGTTTCGAGTTGTGAAGTTTTGTAAAAGCATAAGTACAATAATGTACAATAATATTCAATGTACTCTTTGATGTTTGTTTTGATTTTAACAAACGCGCACATGTCTCTCTTTCAAAATCAGCCAATTACATTGCGCATAGCTCTGCCTATTCTGAGATTTCGAAATAACTGCCGAAATAACAAAGGATTGACAGAGGTAATAAACAGAGTTAAAGTAATATTATTGGCTATTGTGTGATATTGGCTAGAGTGGTATTGATGGGTAACGCAGGTTATACATTTAATATTAGTTGGTATTCATTATTATTTGAATAGTATTATGCTAAAGTGCTGCGTTATTATTTAAAAATATTGATATGTTTTAACAATACTATCTGACGCCGTCCTTCATTATTTAAATAATATTGTTAGTTAACTTACTGTGTTGTGAATTAAAAAACATTTTTTCTTGTTTTTCAATATTATTATTAACTGTCGTGCTCCGTTATGTACCAAATATATTGACGTCCTCCAATATTTTTTAAAATAATGTTTTGAACTAACGTTCTTGGCTATGCTTTAATTAATAATATTGGCTTGCTTTCTTAAATATTTTAATAATTTAAAATTAGATAATGTAGCTGTTGTGGTCTGTGGGGAATATTTCACTTATATTGTGAACATCCTACAAATTCTTTAATAATATTTTTAACAGACAGACTCCGTCATTTAATTGAATAGCATTATTTACAAATATGTATGTTATTTAAGTTATACTATTTTCCTTATGATTGGTCTGTTTATCGTCTTATCGTAGAAAAGGTTGTAACTATTATTACTGTTATCTGTGCACAGAGTAGCAAATAACGCAGAATATAGGCAATACTGGAAAATAAGGAATTCTACATTCCGAAGATTTCAAAGTTTTATTTGACTGTTTCCTCTTCTTGAAAAATATAGTTATTTTTTTAAATTTTAGTTTTTATCGACAATTAAATACTCATATTAACAGAACTCTATCCCCAGATATTGTAGAGAATTCAAATAAAAAGATCCGATTATGCAAAAAAGCAATTAATTTAAACTATAAATTTACTAAATAAAAAAATTTTCTTGACCAAAGATTTAACAAGAAAAAAAACTGAGAGATCAGCGCTAGCGTTGAATATTAGCGTTGAATATTACGGGTTTTTATTTTCAAGTACGGAAATTGTTTACCATGTTTTATTATGTAATATAGGGAGGAGAAATGCGAGCAAACGAGGGGGTAAGGACCGCACGGGAACAAAACGAGCAAGATAATAAAAGGTAAAAAAAAAGTAATTTACGTTTATCAAAATGTAATTTGATATATTTTTTGATGATTTAAGATAAATAGTTTATTTAGTAGTATTTATGATTCATAAAATGAATCATAAATACTAAGTTAAGTTTTTCTATTTATTACCAGCTCTAAAAAAATTAAAACAGAAAAAAAAAGAAAACATAATTACTCCAACGAGAGTGAAGAAGAGTCTTTAAACAAGAAAGAATTAAATAAAAAGTACAAATCTGGTAGAAGAGAACATTCAAACGATTTTGATCGTAGCGACACTAAATATTTGAAGAAAGCTAATTATAATGACTACCGAGAGAAAACAAGGACATCTCGTGAAAAGTTAAGAAGTAGCGAACGACGCGAAAGAAAAAGATCTTCACCAAGTAGCCCAAGAAAACACAAAAAAGATTTTTCGGAAAAGAAAAGATAACCTCTAACTAATTTACCAATTTGAAGAAATATAATTAGCGCGCTTAATTAAACTTTCAATCCGCTGTGAGCTCCAGATATTTGACTTTATTAGAACAAACAAATCTTATTTACTCTGTGAGCTTTTATTTACACTTACTGCTACCATTATGAACAGTTCTTATTTGCGCCTACTGGCACCATTATGAACAGTTCTTATTGACGCTTACAGTGTTGATATGAAAAGCTTTGATTTAAAAGAATATTTTGGTTATATCACGTGGGTTTTACCGCGTTTTGGTTCACGTTCCCGGCAAATATTTAAAAAATTTAATTGAAAGACTTATTTTAACTTAAAAATAATAATGTTTGAATTTCTCGCTAATTTACGTTTTTTAAATTTTGAGTCGTTTATACTTTATAAATTTGATCGAAGTTTTTTAAATATGCGCGATACATATTGAAATTACTTTGTATGTAACCAAAAGTAATAATAATTTCTTCATTTGACTAAAATTATTTGCGAATTTAAATTATTTGCAGTTATCAGCAGGTATCAGCATATTTAATGGTATTTTGCATCAGTATCAGCATCATTTATCAGCATATTTAATGGTATTTTTTGGTATTTGGTATAATGGTATTTAATGGTATTTGGTATCAGCATATTTAATGGTATTTAATGGTATCAGCATATTTAATGGTACAGGTATCAGCATAATTAATGATGCAGGTATCAGCATATTTAATGCTTTTACATTCTCGCTAATTCACACAATTCATTCATATTTAGCACATTTATATTCTCGCTACATCACACAATTCATTCATATTTAGTACATTAATATTATCGCTAAGTCACACAATTCATTAAGAATAGTTCCATTTTCGATTATAACATTCTAGAATTCTATAATGATAAAATCTTGAAACTATAAAATCTTGAAAATAATGTAATATATAATAAAAGTTATATTGCATTGTTTGAGTTGACTACTTTATCTAGTATCGAGTTTGTTTGCAAATTTGTTTAAGAAGTCATGTCTTTGACTGTAGTTTTTTATTGGTTCTCTAATAAAATAACACCTGTGCCCAGGGCCGGCGCGAGTAGGTGTCACGTGGGGGGGGGGGTGCCATTACAACTTTTGCCGACTAAAAAAAAAACAAGGTCCTCGTTTTCCAAAATTTGCCGATTGCCATTAAGACATTTGCCGACTGTCTAACCTCTATCGAAAGGGTCGACATTTGCAGACTAACTAGTTTAAAAGGGTCCAATTTGCCGACTAAGGGACCAGTTTGCCGACTAAAAATCATTGGCAAAGCCTTAAAGTTTTCTGTATGAATGTATTTTATGAAACCATTCTTCAAGTTTGACCTCTTAAATGAGGTTGCGTCGGGTCTTTAATTTGAAGTTAAACCTAAATAGTTTTATCATTCTTTATAAATAAGTTGTTGTGTTGTGTGGGTCACTTTTGTAGCTCTTTTTTGATTTTTGTAATGTCATTATTGAAGTGATTTCATTTTGATATAAATTTTTACTTGAGATCTAGTATATAAAGCGAGAGGGCGTTTCCAAAGAAAACAACCTCGATGTGAAGTTGTATGTTTTATTTTAAGTTATACGGAAATATAATTCGTAACAACGCTGTTATGTTGAGCTATTAACATTATTGCGATAGTAACAATGTTATATGTTGCTATAGATATTATTGCGATAATAATGACGAGTTATTATTGCAATGTTCAAATTGTTATATACGACCGACTAAAAATAAAATATATTAAACATTGTGAAAAAAAAAAATTTGCTTAATAGTCGCAAACTGTTTTCCCACAAGGTGTTAGAACTAAACAATATTAAGGCTTTTTAATAGACGTTTTTCTCACAGGGTGTTCGAAATAAACAACAAGATTTTTTCAATGAATGTTTTACTAGACATATTTTAAATTTCTAAAATAGCGAGAGGAAATTAAGTTTTAAGATAAAATTAACCATTTAAAATCTTCCTTTGAATATCTTTGTTGTTGTTTTTTTATGTACCTTTATATAACTTTATATATTGTTAAGTTACGTAAAAGTCTGTCGTATCTGTATACTTAAATAAGAATCTATTAAACGTTTTTCTGATTACTATTATTATTTCATTGATTTTGATAGGTTCTTTTTCAAAAGCAAATTTTTTTAAAAAATTTGTCACTAATTTAGTTAAAAACTACATAATTAGGTGTGAGTGAAAAATTATTATTAATAGATTTAAAGTATTTAGAAACAAGAAACTAATGTGAAGATAGATACTAAAAAATAAAAACAAATTTTTTTTTTTTAATCCCAAAATATTAAAAATGGTCTCAAACATCCAAAAAAACTAACGCTCATCCCAATGTTTCAAATATCAAAATAAATTATCATTATCTTTTCGAACGTGATACCCAGGGCCGTCTCGAAGAGATTTAAATGAAGGGGGGGGGGGGGGAAGTGGCGTACTGTTTAAAAAATTAAAAAAGGTTTTCGTTAGCCCTCATTAGCCGACTGCCGTCTCTAGATCCAATTTTGCCGACTAATAAAATTCGTAGGGGAGTTAGTTACCAATTCGGGACGGCCCTGGTGATACGCCTGTGTTTCAAATAAGAACAAAATGAAATACTTTAACTTACAAGTTTGCAAAAATATATATATTTACTCTGTTTTAAATATTTCACAGTAATGGGCAAAAGATATTCCCAGTTTAAATAAATATTTACGGTATACCAAATGTATTCCATTTTGATACTAAGAAACATGCAAAAACTGAGTATGAATAAACGTCTCTTTTAGCTTTACACTAAAGTATAACGTTAAACTGTTAACTGTATCACAATAACTTTAGTAATATAAATTTGCTTGTAAATAATGAAATCAAAACTTTCCGATAAAATAAAAATATAGGCATATTTTTAAATTTGTCATGAATTTTTTTATTTCAAAATACCATGTGATAAAAAATTCAAAATTTGTCTACGAGTTAGTAATTTTTCCAAATTTAACGGTAAGATTTCCTTTAAGTTTACTGGTAAGTTTTACATTCGCAACGCTAAACAGTTGAAGAAACACTAATAGTGCAGTTAAAGGCGCGAGGTTTTAAAAATCTCTACTTTTTTCTCTTAAACATTAAAAAATAATACTTAAGGAAATGTCTTTTTTAATTTTTAATAAAAAGGACATAATCTGTGACGTAAACAAAAAAACTCATTGACTAAGCATGCGCGCCTCATTAGAAACTTATCGACTAATTGAGTTGAGCTATATTGAAGGTGAGCAATTATAAAATATGTAAAACTTTTAAAACGAAAAAAGTTTTATTATTACAGTGTTACATAAAACAATGAAATTTAGATGAGCTGCAGGTGTATTTGGGTTTTCTAAGAGGGCCTACAAAATAAAAATGCTTAAAAATAATAGAAAATCAAAAAGTGGTAACCTTTTATATTGGTTCTCAAAAGAAGCGAAGTTTTACAAAAAATTTAAAAATAATAAAATAATTTTTTATTAGTGATATGTGAGTTAGTGAAAGTAGCTATCATGTTGTCACAAGTTTTAGTAACTGAATGCAATTCATTAAGTCCAGAGTCAATTTAAGTGAAACAGATCTTTTTGACAGTTATAAATTATTGTTATTGCTATTGTATAATAAAATGGCCATTCTTAAATAAGTTAAGAAAATAACCAATTTTTACTAAATAGTTAGGATTTCACTAATAGAAGAACCAGAGTTTGTTGTTGAAAAATAAAATTGTAATCGTTAGTTTGGTTATTCCATGGTAATGATCTGCCTTTACGTCACCTTTTTTTGCAGTAGTATTTTTTCCTGCGGTATTTGCATTTGCAAATAACTTAACCTTATTAGAAAATATAAGTGATTTAATTACAGATTTGAAGTGCTTAATGGAAATGTATATTACTTCATGTGTGAATGGTTCTAATCATTTCTGCAAGCTTATTTTTTACTTTAGCTATATCTTAGAAAAAGAAAAAATCTAGTTATTTAAAAAAACGAATACTTTGCTGCTTCAGAAAAAATTAATTTTATCTATGCTTTGTGATGAGCATAAACATTTTAAAGAGCCTGGTTTAAGTAGATTTACTAAAGCAAGAACCGTGTGTAGAAATGATATTAATATGTTTGTAATTCCAAAAACCAACTTATATGCTAATGATTACATTTATATAATTCCATGTTGCAAAATTAATTTCACAGACCGCCAATAAAAAAATATATTTCTAATAATCTTCAAAAAATTAATTTCACAGACCGCCAATAAAAAAAGATATTTCTAATAATCTTCAAAAAATTAATTTCACAGATCGCCAATAAAAAAAGATATTTCTAAAAAATCTTCAAAAAATTTATTAGGGAAACATCAGATTTAACTCTTTAAAACCATTCATTCCCAGGTTCCCGTGTCGCACTAAAGCTATGGAAAGAGAAGTTAAACTAGTTAATGAATAGTAACACGAAACGTTGTAGTCATTGACGGATCCAGCATTTTTTGGAGTTTAAGATAGCTAACTTCCAGAAATGGAGCAAACTCCAAACATTTGTATGTTATTACTTATTGCGATGATTGGAGGCTGGGAACAAATAAACCCTAAAATTTCACCCCTCCTGCCCCAAATGTGAAAGCAACAAGTTGATAAAATATTTTTTTTGCTATTTTAAACGGAATTCATATTCATTGATAAATTTTAAGTTTCGCAGTATTATCTCTCAGCGTTCAAAAATTACGGCCTTATAAAATTTAAATCAATTTGAGGCGGTTACAAATTTAAAGTGGTCATAATTTTTGAAATTTTAAAAGGTTTTTTGCCGTTTTTTATAAAATGACTTTTTTTTTTTTTTAATTTGATCAAATAAACTAATTTAGGTTTGAATGAAACAATTTTTGTAACCTTTTTTTGAACACGTCTTTGACGACATGTTTTCTGTGATCTTTTCTCCTTAAATAAATCTGATATAATATAATTTTATTGCTTAATAAAATTTGTGGAAGTTTTTGTTATTGCGACAATTGTGCAAAGACAAACAAATGTAAATAGAAATGATTTTTTTTTTTACTGTTTTACTGTAAACTAAGAATTATTTAAACTAAAATAACGGGGATGTTAAAAAATATTTACATAGGGGAAAACGGGGCAAAATGGCGAATGGGGCAAGATGGGTTTTCATATAACAACTCAACAAAAAATCTTAAAATTGGTTGAAAATGAAACTGTATTTTCATCTTGTATTTTAAAATACCAATTGGTTTTTTGAAATATTATCAACGCAATTTTATACGCATAAGTTTACTTTTTGCGCTTAAAAAAAAATTCCTCACTTTCGGTTTCTCATAATGGATGGTGCCCTT